TCTTTATTAATGTGTTTCTCTGTTTCACTTTTGGTGTTTATACAGTCCTTCTATGGTTTCCTTTATTTCTTCTTTTGCTTTTTCAAATTCTCTATTTTTGTTGTCTTGGAATTTCTTGAGTGTCTCCTGTACATTTTGGTTGACCATAACCAGTATCATCTCTATAAAATTCTCATTGATTACCTGTAGTATGCCTTCTTTTAAATTATTCTTGTGGGCTTCATTGGGTCCTTTGGCATAGTTTATCTTCATTTTGTTGGAGTCTGGATCTGAGTATTGTTTTCTTCATTTCCCTCTGGTTCCTGTACTAATTTTTTGCTGTGGGGAAACTGGTTTCCTAGTTTTTTCTGTCTTCCCATCATTGCCCTTGGTATTGTTATTGTCCCTGTACTGTGTACAATTAAGTATTTTCTGGCTTGTAATAATAGCACTAGTGATATTTAGAATGGACGGGTGAGAGGGGATGGAAAGCAAAGAAGTTAAAGGAAAAGAGAAAGACAAATAATCAAGTAGAAAAAAAAAAAACAAAGAAACAAACGAAGTTTCAAAGATATAAAGAGGGAGAGACAGTGTACTAATCAACCATAAGCTGAAAAGGCATTAGAGAGACAGAGAGAGGATTGAAAATAAAAATAAAAAGAATAAAGATAAGAATAAAAATAAAAAATAAGTAAATGAAAGAAAAAATATATATATAAATAAAATAAAATAAAACAAAATGAAAAATAGAAAAAAAAAAAAAACCTCCAAGTTCAAATGCAAGTTTCAGTCTTAATAATTTGGGTGCCTCAGATGTTGTTCTGTAGTTGTCTCATCAAAGGGGACGCATAAAGTAGAACAAAACTGCACAAAAAAAAACCCCACAAAGTGTCCCAAGTTCAAATGCAATACAGGTTCAGTAAGTTTTTCAGCATGCAGGTGTAATTTGGTTGTTTTCTCATCAAAGGTAGGGAGAGAGAAAAATAGAGTCTGGAGACAGGTCTGTGAATGGCTATCAGAGGCTGTGGCTTGCCTGTCCACTGCTGTCAGCCTGCTGTTGCTGGAGGCGTTATTTATGCAGATCTCTGGGGTGAGCTTAACACTCACCTGGCCCTGCAGGCTTTGTTTACTCAGAGTTCTCCTGAGCAGGAGCCTCTGCTACAAGCTTTTCCCCTTTCCAAGCAGTGGGAGAGGTGACACTGCACCCGCTTTCTCTGTCCTGCATGTTTGTTTACAGTTCATGTGGGAAGTGGATCTTCCCCACTCTCCTGTGGAGTGGAGCTTTCCTGCTCCTGGTTGCTGGGCGCACACCCCTGCTCCCGCCAGAGCCTCTCCAGCCTGGCCTAGCTTGTTTATTTACAGTTTGATGAGGGATTTCCCCTCCCCCCCTCTTGGGCACTCAGGGTGCCCCACCCTCTTTGCAACATGTCTTTATTGTTCTTATTGCTTATTACTCAGTTTCTCTTTTTTCCCCAGGTGGGGGTTGGTCTGTCCAGGGGGCTATGCTGATCTGGCCCAGGGTTGTCTGTGGGAGTACTGCATACCACTTAGCTCACCTTGTCCATGTCTTCCTAAGCCATCTGGGTGCAGGTGACTGGTGGCCCCAGGGCCCTCCTGGTTTCTCCATTCAACATGAAGTGGAGATGCTCTGTGCTGGCTGGAGGTGCGGAGGGGTCAAAGTTTTGCCTCTTCTCAGTGGTTTTGCCTGCAAGGTGTGTCTCCAGTGTCTCTCCAAAATTTGACTATAGGAGACACGCTTTCTGCTTCCTCCCTCTAGCCGCCATCTTGAAATTCCTCTCTTTTAGATTTCTTAACAGTGAAGAAACATTCACATTTTTGAAGAGTGGGTTTTTTCCTGGGTGTGGCACTTCAATGCTAACACAATAGGTGACAGTAACACATTTTAAAACTGTGTTTCTATGCAAAAGGAAGCTATTCACACAGATGAAATGTATCGAGTGCATTCAGACAGCATTTAGCTTATGACCCATTTAGTGGGTTTTTGTGTTTGGTTGATCATATGGCCCAAAGAACTTTTCTTCATCTAAATGTCTAACCACTTCGACACCATCCATTGAAAGACTCTCCTGTTTGCACTGAAATTCCTTAACACTCACTAAGGATTCAGTAACTGTGCACACATGGCTGTGCTTCCTTTCTCCCCTGTCCCACTGACTCAGGACTGTTGTCTGAAACCTCAAAGTAGCATTGAAATCAGAAGGTGTGAGTCCTCTGACTGTTCTTTCTCTCCTTTTTAAGAATTGTTTGCGTAACTAACCTATTTGCCTTTCATGTAAATTTTATTTTCCCAGGTTTATTGATGTGTGCTTGACAAATAAAAACATAATGTATAAATAAGGTATCTAACTTGTTATTTTGATATGTGTATGCCTTATGTTATGATTCCCACAAAAAAAGCTTATAAATGTCTATAAATTTTTTATTTGGATTCTTCTGAATTTTTATGTTAATTTGAGGAAAGTTGACAAAAATTATATATATTTAAATATATAACATGTCCTTTTGATATATGTTTACCTTGTATAATGATTCCCACAAAAATCATACGTTTCTACAAAATGTCTTCTGGGATTTTTAATTTGGATTGTATTGTCTATATGTAAGTCTGGGAAAATTTGACTTCTTAACAGTGTTTTTAACCCATCAACACGGGTCATTTCTTCATTTCTTTAGACCATTATCTGATCAATATCCTGCAGCTTTCTGCATGCAAGGCTCACATGTGTTTATTAAACTCAGCCATAAGAATTTCATTAGTTCTGATGTTCTGGTAAAAGACATTTTAAAAGTTTAATTTCAATATCAAGTTTTTATTCCTAGTGAGTTTTTTTTCCAAACTAATGAAGTATTTCTTGAATTAAGGACATTATAATTTATTTGCTTCATATTGGTTTATAAATGTCTTTCCTATTCATTATCAGATCTCATTCCAAGTTTTTAAGACCAAGAAACTGGAGTTTATGTGTAATACATGACAGAATAAGAATTAGATCACAAGTTAAAACAATCATGTTTTTAGTCTAGAAACTCACAAAGTGTTTTAGAACCCATTTTTTTTTTTCTGGTCAGGCTCTTATGCCTGCTAGGCAAGCACTCTCTACTTGAGTCACGTCTCCAGCCCTATTTGCTTCTAGTTTGTCTTCAATAGAGTCTCACATTTTTGCCTGGGGTCAGCCTCAAACCATGATCCTCTTTCCTCCATCTCCTGAGTAGCTGGAATTATAGGTGTATGACACCACACCCACACCAGACCTGCATTTTCATAAAAAGCACTAGACGTTGGTTTGGGTGCCACATAGCTTTCCCTTTACTCAGCTTTAGTTTGTCTCTTTGGGTGAGGTCCATCACTAATTGATGTTTCCTTTTCACTCTAGATGCTGAAGTAACAATTGAACCCATCACTTATGTGGAAGGGCAAACACTAACAGGTACACAAAATACATCTGCTTTTTAGTTTACATCAAAATCATATATTCTATATATTTATTAATGCTTATGAGACTTAGGAACAAAAATAGAAATTTAATAACAAATATTGCAAGGCATCCCTAGCCCTGCTAGGGTCCTTGAAATAGTGAAATAAAGGTGTTTTTGAGAATGAGCTTCTAGAAACACTAGGTGTTAGGGTCAGTTGTGCACACACACATGTGGTCCTATAGTTTAGGAAATACTGCATTAAACCCAATAAAAAAGACAGGCAGTGGGGCTGGAACTCAACTCAAGGCCTGTGCTTGCTTGGGAAGCACACTGCCACTTGAGCCACATCCCCAGCTCTTTTTGCTTTGGCTTACTTTTTTAAGAATCTTGTGCTTTTTCCCTGGGTTGTTGTTTGACCCTGATCCTCCTCCCTCTGCCTTCCATGTAGCTGGGATTACAGGTATGTACCACTGCACTTGGCCCACCATCACGTGAAATTCTCAAAGAATTCCTCTGTCAGTAGTTATTACTGTAAATCCAAGTTCTATCCCACCGATTCATGGACTTAGTCCATTGTTATTGGAGCTGTATTAAAAGTGTCTAAAGAAGGCAAAAGATCTACATATTGGTATGCAAACCAATTGGCCTAATATCATCATTGTGGAGTAAGCCTTGCTTTTCTAATGGATGTGTCCTAGGGGAAAAGTGTAGGCAGTGTTAAATGACATTATGAAAAAGCAGATGACACCTTGCTATTTGTACACCAATCAGATATAGACAGGTGACAAGGCAAGTGCCTCAAAATGGGGTGCTCCAGAGCCCAGGGATGGGGAGGAGCACAGCTCCTTTCAGGAGGCACACAGCTGAGGCACCGAGACCGTCATATCTGGCCTGTGCTGAGACTCCACCAAGCACCCATGATACAAGCCAATCCTTACAGAAAGTTAAAGCCAGCTCTGTCCGGGATCATGACTGCCACCTAAAAATGATATCACTAATCAGTCCTCCACATTGGAAAACTAGCTTGCCAAACAATTGCCATGTGACATTTTAAGGTCTAATTTGGTGTAACTGACCCCACAATGAGGTGGTTGTATGCATGTTTGTTGGGGTAGGCGTTTTCTGAGGCAAAACAAGGAAAGTTAGCTGCTGGGCACATCTCACATCGCTTAAGTAATGACTGGTCTAGATAAATTTGCCAAATACCTAGGGACATCCTGAAAAGCTCAGTCACTTACATGAATGTCAGAAATGAATGTCCTGTCATGTGATTCCACAGGGTTGGCTGTTTCCCAAAAGGAAACAAAGAGGTGGCAGAAGGAGATGGGATTGTGGGCATTCAGAGAAGTAAAATGGGCAGAACATATAGAATATTCTAGAACTTCATTTTGGAGACTGAATAAACTGAAAAGCAGGGGGAAGTAAGGGCTTCCCTGCCTTAAACTTTGGTGGAGAAACCCAGGGAAGATCTGATTCTTCCCTATTTGAGTCTTGCTGTTCAAAGTTCCCATTGAAAGCATCTTTTCCTCCCTGGGGTCAGAGGACCCTGGCCATGAGTGATGTCTCTTTTGTACCTGTCACAGATGATGGACTCTCATCTCCTGCACCCACGACAGACATCCCCAGCCTTCGCTCCATCCTTCTGCCAGCAGGTAATGCCTCCTTGACTTGGCTAGCATTAGGTGAGCATTTCTGAATTCCTACTATGTGCCACAAGAGAGTTAAGTGCTGTCACAATACTGTGACTCCATACCAGCCTCGAAGGAAGGTATTATTTTTAACATTTCACAAATGGTTAAACAGAGGCTCAGAGAAAACAGGTGAGCAGATGACATGGGTCATATGACTACAGCCACACCACCAGTAGGTGGCAAAGGCTGGATCCATCCAGACCTGTCTGACTTTAGGATCACAGGTTTCACTGAGCTTTTCCAGGTGACATGGATCACAGCTTCTCATGGCAAGAAAATCTGAGAAAATTATATGGAAGTGTTAATTGCTGTCTGTCTACAACAGAGGATTTATTATAATCAAGGATGAAAGATAAAATGTTAATTTGGATTGTCCATTTTTGCCTCTCACTGCTTCATTTGGGCAAAATTGATCTCAAGTGTACCTAGACCTACTCATCAGCACATAAGTTCTTCTTGTAACCAGTCTTGCCAAATTTGCCTGCATATTTTATCATATGTTCCTTACAACATTGTTGCTAGCCAGGGAGAATGTTATTCCCATCGTACAGTTGAGGAGCGTGAGATTCAGATGTGATTAAAGGTGGAGTCATGACTGAGCTTTGAGCTACACAAATTCTGTCCTCATGCTGGGATCTCAATTGTCCCTGTAGAAGGGCATCCCTAAGTCACTTGCTCAAACATGGCATTGTCTGTGCAGGTTGAAAAGTCACAGTTCCCTGTCCACTGCATCTGTTGTTGCTAACGTGTGTGTGCAGTCAAGCACGTACATGCATATGTTTTAGGGATAAGTGAGGGCTGTCATCTTCCAGGACATTGCTGCTTTTGTGTGTTTAAAAATAAGTTCATTCAGCTTTCTCAGAAGTCCCTGGACAGTTTATTGTCACTATAATTGTAAAAGATATTTTGTAATTCTCAGGTGCTGATGGCTCTGCAACCTTTATCTCTATCACTGAGCCTAAAGCTGCTGCCATGGTGCACACACTGCCAGGTTGTTCAGATCTTTGGGTCCTATGGATTGGGATGGTTATTTTCTGAAACTATGTTAGCAATTCCTCCTCATATCCAGAAGCACATAGTTAAATAGGTTCCGGAGGTTAATAAAAATGGAGGTGCAAAGTTTTGGAGGATAAGAGTCTCTCCTATCACTTAGACTTCTTTAAAAATTCCTTTCCTTAGCCAGGTGTAGCTGTTCACGCTTATAATCCCAGGAGTTGAGAGGCAGAGGCAGGAAGATTGTGAGTTCAAGGCCAGCCTGTGCTACACAGCAAGTCCCAGTCCAACTTAGACTACACAGTGATACCCTACCTCAAACCGCCCCCCACCCAAATTCCTTTTCTTGTCTGCTAATAATGAACTTCAGAAAAGTTTTATAGTATCAAGCTGACTTAGCTCAGAAATAATGGCAGCAGTTAACGGGAAATGGATCACCAAGTGGATTCTTTTTATAGGCAAAGAAAAGTAAAGCATCTCCTGCAGATTCTCATGTTAGGAACACTGGCTGCGTCATGATTGGCTCTGCTTTAATTTCACACACCTGAGAGGGGCTGAAGACACTAGATGAGGGAGGACAGGTGGATTCTTTGGGGATGAGAAGAGGAGGATGGAGGAAGGGGAGGGAGGAGGCGGGAGAGCTTCTTCCTTTTGTGCGCTCCCATCAGGGTGGACGCAGTAATGCTGTTTCCTCAAATGGATGACAAAATGGCCCAGGAAAGAAGCAATGAGGAAAGCCCTGGTTGGTAACATTCACACTAAGGTCTTCCTGGCACTGAATCAGAGCAAGTGACCTCAGCATGACCAACAGGTGGGACAAGTTGTATATTTTTATGCATTAAAGACAATTCTACAAGTCACTGTGTGGCCAACTGCAACACAACCAATCTCTCTTTCCCCAATCAAAAAAACTCAAACAAGTGAATTGGTCTTTGATCTGCCTCCACAATCAACCAAACAATTTTAGCCACCTGCTGTTTGAGAGTCTAGTGGCTACTTTGAACAGGAGTTCTAAGATACTTTAAGTTTTATGAGATAATAAAAGAAGACAGGAGAGAAAAGGCAGTGCCTAGAAGTCCTGTGTGAGTGCCACAGTATTTAGGTAACAGAACCTAAGCAAATTCACAAGCATGTATTTGGAAATGTAGAGGTTTGGTGGTTTAACAGGATGTAATGTCTCTGTGAGGAAAGAACAAGCATGGTACCAAAGAAATTCCAAAATTGGTTACGTGGACATTTGAGTCATCAGAATGCACTAACCCAGAGGACCTTTCTGGTGACTAGAAAGGTCTGTGGCTTTGAAAAACAAAGGGGAGGTGGGTAAGGGAGTGTTCGTCTGAATATTTGCTTCTGATGGGAAAAAGATTTGATGGAGAGTGCTTACTACATTCTTTAGGTAGCTTCTGTTTTCATTGTACTTTCTTTTGTGGGTTTTGGAAAACATCAGCCCATGAGGAATGTCTTCTCTGTTCTGGCTCACAGGCACCGCGACTTCGGCAGGGCCTTCCCGCCTTCCTTCCACAGTCACAATGGCAGGTAAGTCCTAACTGATGCCTGCTTGCACTTAGAAAATGAGCAAAGGGGACTGTATCAGCAAGGCACTCATAGTACACGTTCTCTGTGGTGCCCCAGAGAAGAAGGACTCACTTGCCCCATTCAGGAGCCTACTACAGAGCACGCCCTTACGTAAGACCAACACCTGGGAGGCTGAGGCAGGAGCACCATGGGTTGGGGGCCAGCCTGGGCTACATAACAAGACCCTGTCTCAAAAAACCAGAGAGAGAGGGGTGGGGGCAGTACATAGAAACTTAAAAAGTCAAACTGCCACCAATGTCACAAATCTGGTTTGTCTGGCTTTGGGGAACAAGCTTTTCGTCTGTCTTTTTCCTGGAGATATTTTTCAGATTTTGTTTTTTAATCCACATGTAATACTTGTACAGATTCAGAGGGTCTGAAGTGGTACTTTGATACATGTATATGTTAACCAGTGATCAAATCAGGATAGTTAGCATATCTGTCACCTCAACCATTCATTATTTCTTCATAGTGAGAATGCTCAAAATTCCCTCTTCTAGTTATTGTTAACTATGGTCACCCCACTATGTAGCAAAGATCAGAATGTATTCCTCCTCCAAATGTAACTTTGTACCCCTTGACTAATCTCTCCTCCCCATTTCTCTTCCCCTCTCCCAGTGTCTGATAACAGACCATGGAAGAAGCTTTTAGTGAACACTAATTTCTCTTTTTATCATTCCTACCTTTTTGAGGATTGAGCTGACTTCCCTCTTTCTTTCCTATGGACTGGTTGACTCAGAGTTTACACTATGCATCCTTTATTTATTACATCTGCCTTCAAATGATATCGAATCACTTCATGCATAGTGTAAGAACCTTCCAATAGTAAATTTTCAGCCCCCTTCCCAATTCTTTGCTCTATCATTGCCATATATTTTCATTGTATTTACCTTATAGCCCCCACAATATTCTGTTACTACTTTTGTGATTAACCATGAAAAACTTGTCTTTTATGTATACCTTTACTTTTAACATTTATGATATTTCTGGGTAGATCAGATTTCTGGATCTATATTATACAGATCTGGTATATATATTCCTTCTGCCTGAAGAACTTCCTTTCATATTTCTTAGAGCTCAGATCTGCTTCCTTTTTTCTGAAAAAAGCCCTAATTTTGCCTTCATCTTTGAAAGATGTTTTTGCTCAGTATAGGATTCTGGATTGACAAGTCTGTTTTTTAAAATATAAGCGCCTTTGTATTTTGGGACATAGCCTCTGAAAAAGAAGTTTGCTGTAATTCTTATCCTTGTTCCTTTCCATGTTATGTTTCTTTTTTTATTCTAACTAATTTCATGATTTTTCTCCTTGTATTCAGGTTGGGTTTTCAACAGTTTGATTATCCTGCTTGGAGTTCTTTGAACTCCTTGGACCTGTGGTGTAACGTATCTATTACTTTTAAAGATTCTTGACCAGTATCTTTGATACGGTCACACCACACTTGGAATTCCTGGGTCTTTTTATCAATATCTTCTATATATTTCTGCCTGGTTGATTCCTATTTACCTATCTGCTTCTTTAACGATTCCTTCCTCAGTTGTGTGGAGTCTGCTGATGAGTCTACCGAAGGAATTCTCCATCTCTGATACTGTATTATTTATTTCTAGCACTTCCATACGACTCTCTTATATTTTTCTTTTTTAGGGAGTGATTGAACTCAGAGTTTCATGCTTGCTGGGCAGGCACTCTAAACACTTAATCTATGCCTCCAGTTCTTTTGTTTTTGTTTTTGTTTTTTAGTTTAGTTTTCAGATAGGGTTCATGCTTTCTCCTGGGCCTGCCTCAGCCCTCAATCCTCCTACCTGTTCCTCTTAAGTAACTGGGATTACAGGTGTGTGCCTGGACCTTTATTTCTCTTCCGAAGTTACCATTTAGTCATGTATATTGTTCATGTTTTCCATATTCTTTAACATGTTCATCGTAGTTATTTTAATGTTCCTGTCCGATTATTGTGGCATCTGGGTCACCTTCAGTCTGTGTTGATTGCTGTGTTTCTTGATAAGGGGCTGTTTGGTTTTTGTGGGAGAGGTTGTTTGCTTTTTTGTGAGTCTCGCGTGTAGAGCAATAGTTACTAAAGTAAACCGTATGTACTTACACACAGAAATAGGCATACCTCTTCTCTGTCAGGCTGTGTTACAGACTGAGTCAATCTAGTCAGGAATTGAGGTGGGTTTAGGTATTACTGTCACACCAGCGGTATCAAAAGGTTTGATCCACAGGACACCTGCTGCAGGGGCTGCAGTGTGAGAGGACTTCAGTGTCCCAGCTCCTTCCCAGCCTCAGCTACTGCATGCTCACAGGGTGTCCCTCCACACTCTTCCCCTCCCCAGCACAGGATGCTGCTTCATGGGACACGGATCATTCTCTGTTTCCTGGTCTTGCAACAGTCTTAGGGACAATGTGAAAGGCTTTTTTCTTTTTCTATGAGGAGGTAAGTAGGAGATGACAATCTTTCCAAATAGAAGTGGAAGTTCTTCAAAACTTAATGTACTGTGCATATAGAGTCATCATAGCATTGAGCTATTCTGGGAAAAACAGGTTTAAACATGAGTTAGTGTAGGGCTTTTCTTACCCTTTAATATTTTAATTAACACTGTGAGGCCCCAGAAGGGACTAAACTGTTTGTCTCAAAGCAACTGCTTTGCACAGATCTTTCTTAAGGGATACACAGGTCCAGGCAATAAAACAGGAGCAATCACTAAAGGATTTCCAGATCCTTCTCCCTTGGACCTTCCAAACCATCTGCATTTTTGCCACATTTCCTGCCTTCTCTCCTGATTGCCCAGAATGAACAGCCATGATCCCGGTGAACCCATTCCTGCCCCTGTGAACAGGGCTCCATCCTTTCTCACTTCATAAAGTGAGAAAGTGCAGCTGGGCCCTTCTTGGGGATCATAGGTCTTACTTTTAAACTCCTCTTATTTATTGGATGTGCAGTTCCTTCAGGAAGGCTTTCCTGGCTGCAAAAGCAAGTTTATATCACCCATAGAGTTCTCCAAGCACTTCTGCTTAGTCTGATCAGTATGCACTTGCTCACCTAGGTTGTAAGCTCAGGATTGCAGGGCCAATTTAACATTTCCCTACTATGAGCATCTTTATAAAATGAAATCATGACCCCCCTATTGTTCTAAGGATTGAAGGAAAATATCCCTGTCACCAGAAGACAGTCCTTAGTGTCCCTATCCTTTGTGTCCCTCCAGGAGTCTGGATGGAGGTGAAGCTGCTGAATGGCACAGGGAGATGGAGGTCCTTGTCCAGGGACTATGGGGGATAGTGTGTGATGACCTCTGAGACCTGGCCGAGGCCACCGTTGTATGGCCACCATTGTGGCCAGGTGGTGGCAACCCCCCCAGGGGCCCACTTCAGGGCAGGCTCTGGAAAGATCCTGCTCGATGATGTGCGGTGTGTAGGCAGCAAGGGCCACCTAGGGCAGGGCATGCATGGGAGCCAAATTGGACCCAACTGCGGGCATATGGAGGATGCTGAGGTCATGTGCTCTGGTGAGGGGCTGTTGGTCTCCCAGGACTTCACCCTTGTCACACTCAGCCAATGCTAACAGTGAATAATACACACAAATAGCCTCATGTATCTTGGTCTATTGAGCTCTTTCAACCATCAGGTGCTGATGATTCTTCAGTCCCCATGCCCACCACAGAGCCTGAAGCTGCACCACCATCCCACGTGCTCCCAGGTTGGTGCAGTCTTTGGGTGGTTTGCTTCAGGTGAACTTTCTCTTCCAAAACTCATCTTGTGGAGTCATGGTAGTGTTCTTTCTAGAATAGTAGAGTAAAAAATCCACTCCACATCACAAAGAAGGATGTCCCTGACAGGTGAGGAGATAAGAATAAACAGAGAGTAAGACATTTAGGCAATGGAATATTTATTACATCAAATGAGATCTATTAAGAATTGTCAAGTTTTTTGTTTGTTACAAGCTGTTAGAATATTTTGACTGTCTCTAAGTAATTAATGCACTCTGATATTATTCATGAAACTCTAGCACTGCCTGCAGGGATGTGGGGCTAGCACTATTCTCCAGATACCAATGCATTAAAAGCATAAGGTCTTTTCAGAAATATTCAACTTATATTCTCAGAAGTCATTGAAAATCATAGTGTGAATAGTTCTATAGACCTTAATATGTTGATTTCTTTCAACTACCAGGTACTGACAATTCATCAGGCCCCTCTCAAACAACAGAGCCCGAAGTTGCCACCCTGTCATCTACACTGTCAGGTTAGTCCAATCTTCACTTGGTTCTTGAGCTTTGTAGATTTTCCTTCCTTCAGATAGGAATGAATTAACATTCCCAAATGATGCTTAGGGTGATCAAATACATTCTAAAAGATACTTATAGATTCACAAATCGGTAGACATTTGTATCGTCATTTTTAGCACCCTTTACATTAGAGAATCTGGAAAATACTGAAGTAATCAAATAAGTGATTGAAAGAGAGTTCAGAGAACAAATTTGGTAGGATAGCCATGACAGACACCCATTCCTTCCAGTGCATAAATAACAAGGCCTCTCTTTGCTTTTTATTTTGCATTGAAAATGAGGAATTAGCAATAAGTGTGCCCATCAGTTGGCCAGTGAAACTGTCAATGGGGTGGCCACCCACACACATAACCTTCTCTTCACCCTGACAAGAGCTCACTACCTCAGTCACTTCACCATCAGGAAAAAAACTGTTCATTTCCAGCATTGAACCATGTGGGCCAATTGAAAAGTGTGACTATACAATTGTGTCTTTTTTCTATGCAACCCATCTTAAGCCACCAGTTTGATGGTTTAGCTACTTTTGGAAAGTCTAGTCCCAAATTAGTTAAACTGATCACAGTGATGAAGTGGCCATTCAATTGTTTTGTTTACCTGCATATATAAAGGAATATTTTGAAAAGTATCCAACTCTCTGACAAATTTTGAGAAGAGTAGATGAAGCTTGGAGATCCCACTACTAAGTCTTACCCTATCCTAATGTTTTGCCGTAATTATTGGGACGCATTTTTAAAGGTAACATAATGCCTGATCATTTTAGGACTTGGTAAGATGAAAGTGGGGCTGCTCATGCCCTGTGGAAACTTCATGTGGCTAAGGCTCCTGAGAGCTGAGACACAGCCACCAAAAACCTAGGTGGAAAACAAGCATCCATTCATTCCTCCAGTTGCCATGGTCCCCTACAAACATACCTAGATTGCTGCCAAAAGGAAAAGAGTGAACAACCCAACATCTACTGCTAGATGAGTGTGGCAGGGGAAAGGGTGGGAGGAAAAGCCGACCAGAACACTGGCACGGCAGACTGGGGCCCAGACGTTCTCTCTGGGCTGTTGTCACTAGTCTACTCTCCCCATGCAGTGAGGCCATATTCAGCAAAGAACAAGGCCTGTATGTGTTTTTCATTTTATGTTCACAGGTCAGGCACTATCAGCAACTATGTTCATCATGGAGTCTTCTGTGCTTCCCCCAACTTCCACCTCCAGCAGGTCAGTTGGTTTTTGCTCTGAGGGAGATGCAGAGAGGGAGCCATCTGTCCAGCCCTGAAGCCACACAAAGCGCTGGCTGTATTACTGCAGGGACTCTTTGCTTCTGAAATAGCTGAATCAGGAACTGGCATTGCGTATTTATCTGTTACCTTCAGACTGAGTCTGTTTCCAAAACTTGGTCTTTTCAAAGATGTGTTTAGTTATGTTCGAATTACTAGGATGCCTCCGTTGGTCCCTATGCCAGGTGGTGGACTATCCACAACCATAGTCACTACAGAGCCTGACACCCTGAAATCTACGTCCACACCCCTGTCAGGTAAGTCCTCAAGAAAAAGGGAGAAGGAGCCAGCATTTATGGAACAACTAAAGTATGAAGAGCAGAGAATCAGATATTTTTGCATAACTAACAATTCATTCCCTTCTCATAGAAATCTGCAAGCTACCCTTGCCTCACCCTCCTGTTTTTTCACATGGGAAATCACAAGAAAAATAACTTTTCTAGAAAGAGCACTTTCTTGTTGCCTGAGTTTTCCTTTTTCATAACTTCCTGCTCTTGTTTCACAGATGTGGTACTTTCTCTAACTCAGTATCTCCTTTATAGCTTTCTACTCAAAATTTCTTTTGTTGTCCCTGTTTCTTCCCTCTGTATCCTATTCCTTCCCATTATGTCTCTGGAGTGGAAGACTTTTCTTAAAGATCTGGGCATTAATGGCTGTGTGTTTGATTTAAGAATGAGGCATTAAGGATCTGATGGGATGAGGTAATGTATTGACTGCTGGTTTTTCAACAGCAGAGTGGGAAAAGACAGGTGACATATCCAGGTCTCAACTCTACTTTTGTCTTTCCTGATATTTGCAAGAATTGACTTTCGGGATTTAATTTCTCCAGAGAATTAATTTCCAGTTTCTGGGTAGGGGAAAATCAAAGCTTTCTACAGATTCTCAATCAATCTCTCATTTCTAATATAGTAGCGACTGGCCAGAATTATAAGCTAGGTGAGTTAGTAGAACAGTTTAGTGGTTCTATCTTTGAACCACAAGTTTGTGCAGCAAACTTCTTGGCCTTTTGGCTAAGATCAAGTGTAGTATATAATATAGAGGATGAAATGGGGATTTGAATATGACAGTGCCTAAAAGTACCTCCCACCTGATAGGCACCTACCCAGCAGCTCATGACCTGAGGGAGGCAATGTGTGGAGGCTGGAAAGGGCTCCAAGCTGCAGGAGTCTGATCCCAGTTGACCTCTCACCACATGAATGAAGGTGGCCATCAACCTCTTATCATTAGATAAGGATCATTGGATTCCATGCTCCCTACAATTTGATGCCTTTGACATTCTGTGACTAACAAGGAGACCATAAGCAGCCACATGGACTGGCTGAATGAAATGTGTCCCCCTGTGGAAAGCAAGGGGCTATCATCAAAAACCAGAGACATAGGTCTTATAGTAGACATTAAAGGACACTCCCCCTCCCCACAACATTTATGAGAATTTTCAAAACTACAACAAACTGAAAATCTTAACAATAAACTTCTACCTAGATTCTGTGATGAGTTTGTAAACCTATTTATCATCCTTCCATGTGTCAGTCCATCTCATTTTTATTAAGGTTTGATTTGTATGCCATACAAGCTCCGGTTTGGTGAATTTTAGTAACTGTGTATAGTTGCATAACCACTTCCACGGTCAGGGCAGGGAGCAGTTTTCTCACCCAGCAAGAGGTCAGAGCTGACCCTCTCCCCCATGGATCTGTTGTGTGACCTTCCTTGCTTTGTTCAGGTGAGGTCATAACTTTAGCATGTGAAAGGAGAAGGCAGAAAAAAGAGATGGCAGCCAACGAATGGACTCTCATATAGCAGATCAATTAGACCCAGCTCCCTAGGAGCTTTGCTTTCTCTAGTGGCCACGTGATGCATGCAAGTATGTCAACAGCAGCAATGCCATGTTCTGCCCTAACCAGGGACCTTGGGGATATGAGGTCAGTGGTCTTATAATGCAGTGTCATCATTTTTCCTGTTGAATCCTGACAGGACATAGGCACAGGCTTGAAGTAACTGTGTCTCCTCTCCCAATGTTGTGAGCATTCCCTGATGACAGGTCTTTGTTTTTGCCATCAGTATTCCATAAGAATCTGCTTACCACGTCACCAGTGATATCGATATCAACAGCTCCACAGCCACTTTCTTCTGCACCACCAGGTAGGGCCATGTCTTTTTACAATGTGACATTGAACGAGTGAATAAACATGGGTCACTGAGAACATGCAGAGCAATGAACAAAGCAGGCCCTCATGCAGGCTAAGTCCCCTGCAGTTTTACAACAATGTAATGAATGCTGTGGTGAGGGAGTGCAGGTGCCTTGGGTGCCCAGAAGAGGGTCTCTATCCAAATTTGAATAGTCAGGGCAAGAGGAAACACAACCTTATAGAAGACCTGAAGACTGGGGGGCAGTGGAATTGTACCAGACAAAAGAGAAGGCAGATGGGTAGACCCCTTAGGGGCTGTTGACTGACAGACATTAATCTACTTTCCAGATTGGAATTTAGGGCTGGTCAGTAACCACACAGTCAGAAAGAGTGAGGTGGCTCAGGTCCTCTAAGGTAGCTTTCTGCTGTGATCAGGGATGAGTAATTTTTAGGAGTATTGAGCCATGAGTTGTGTCTTGGATTTTTACAAGCTAGGTTCAGTCTGAGGCTAGATAAAGCAGGTGTAAAATATTGGACCCGATGACTCCCTTAATCTATCTGTATATCAAAAAAATTCAGGGAAAACCCAGAGGAGCCACTGTAATTGCCCCAGGGACTGAGAACATCCTTGGCTGAGTAGTGTCCAGCAGATGCTGTAGATTCTGGCCATTGATCATGGCCTTGCGAACATGGCAAGCACAAAAGGTGCCATTGCTGGCTCTATGAATTTTATTCACCTGAATTCACACTGTACATCTTTCTTTTCTTCACCTTGCTTAACCACTTTTTAACTTGTATGCCTACTTTGTGCTGAGCACTGTCCTGGAGTGAATACATAGATGACTCAGATACAGTCCCAAGTCTCAGGGAATGTGTGGTATATTAAGGAGATGAGTCTTGTTCACAGAAAGCTATGGTACAGGAGAAAGCGGTCTGTACCACAGGAGAGAGGCCCTGACATGCTCTTCCTGCATCCTCAGATCTGGGTTCATATGCTCTGTGCTCCCAGGGGAATGCTCTCTGCATACACTTCTGCAGCAGTCATGACCACACCCATTGTCTTCATGAGTCTATCTCACCCTGAACTGCTGAGATCTTGACCCATTTCTTCATCCCTACTCACCTATAAAACAAGTACAATCGCTGAACAAGCCCTCTTCTGAGTGCTCTCACATTCTTTGCCTTCATGGCAGCTTATGAAGTAATTACTACTATCCTGAAGGTCACAGAACTCATCAGGGATGCTGGACTTCAAGTCCAATCTCTCTGACCCATCATCCATTGCTCTTTCCACTGTATCTCCCTGTCTCCCATGTCATCTGCTGAAACAGATGAAAGCTGATGAAACAGATACATCACTGGTCCTATACATGATAGTGTGGCCAACCCAGGAGGACCACAGCGAAGGGCTGAGAAAGGAAAATCAGTTCTAGTCCAAGTGATCACAAAGGCTTCATGGAATGAAGGGCTTGGGATGGAATCTGAAGCATGGAAAGATTTCAGTGAGCAAGACTGGGACAGTGTACATAAAGTCAAGTTAATGGTATTTAAAAAAGTGAATGTGAGGAAATATGAGTCATTTCTTAATGGAATGATCATTTGGTTTCTTAGTACAAATACCCAGTCAAGCAAGATTAATTGAAAGGAGTCTACAGCAGGATGTATGAGAACCCAGAATGGTAGAGGCATTCTCTCAAACCCTAGATCTCCCTTCTCCTTGTTTCTTGCCTCTCATGAGTCATTATTCTGAGCAACTTCTCTATTCACTTAGCCACCCCTATGTGGCTTATCATGGCTGCCCCAAATGGAAAGGTCAGGACCTAAGTTGTCCAGTTCTCTTTCTAATTCCAAATATTCAACAGAGAACCTGGTGCAGTCCAGCTGTGGATTGGTTCCTCTGGAATCAGATGTTCACTCCAGTCCTCTGAACCTGACCAGGCAGACTCCATCTTGGAGTGCATTCCCCCTCTTACCTGTGGGTAGAACAGGTTATCTAAAAAGAGAGTATAGGTAAAGAACTGTGTAAATTATCTGTTTGCCATGTAAAGCCACCCAAAACATAGTGAGTTAAAAACAGTCACCCTCTGCAATAGCTCACAAGTCTACAAGTCAGTTGGGCACTTCCGCTGATCTGGGCAAGGCTCTCTGACTTTGACTGGGTTTTCTCATCCATCTGTGGCTAGCTGGAAGGACAGATGAAGACTTCCTAGTCTAGGATGGCCTCCCTCACATGTCTGGCAGTTCTATAGCTATTACCTGAGGGACAGAGATGACAAAGCCACATGTCTTTCATCACCCAGCTAGTTCAAGGTCATCCATATAGTACTTTCAGATTGCCCATAGAGTGAGCTGCAGTCTGAGAGATCTCTCATAGTCTTCTGTTTGTGGGTGCACAGTACTTCTGCCATATAATCACAGCCTAGGTGAGCCAAAAACCTCCAGCCCTTCATCATGCTGTAAGGAAAAAAGCCTAACCTCTCAATGGGAAGACCTCAATGTCACATTGTAAAAAGAGAGGATATAGGGAAGACAACTGGGGCCAGTTCTGTAATCAATCCAAGAAATCTTAAAATAAGGTGAGGGTAAGGAAACCATCATAGGTTACTTAGAGCAGATACATTGGGCAGATGGCATGAGCTCTCTTGGGGCAGCATAAGGAAAATAAGGCAGCAAGGAGGTTGTATAGATGATAGCTTGTTATCAACAGAGGAAGAAGCTATCACCCCTCCACTCTCTTACTCTTCCCCAGGAGGCTGGGCTCCTGTGCGGCTGGTAGGCACCCATGGAAGCTGTGCAGGGCGTGTGGAACTTTTCTACCAGGGAGAATGGGGAACCATATGTGATGACCTCTGGGACCTACCAGAAGCAAACATCGTCTGCAGACATCTGGGGTGTGGCCGGGCCATTTCAGCCCTGAGTGAAGCCCACTTTGGAGAAGGTACTGGGAAGATTCTCCTTGACAACGTGCACTGCAAGGGACATGAGGAGCACCTGGAGGAATGCTCCCATGTTGGCTGGTTCTCCCACAACTGTGGTCATGGGGAAGACGCCAGTGTGATCTGTTCAGGTAAACCCCGGCTCCCCTCACTGCAAAGCCCAGCCTCGGTTCTTCCAAGAGAATACCATATACACAACAGTGCAAGAAGAACTGTTGAACGTGAGCCAGTATGTCATTCACTAACAGCAGATGTTTTCGTTTCTCATGTTTATAGATGCTGAGTATTCAATGAGCACAACACCAGGTAGGGAAGGCAACATTTCCCTGAAGTTTATCAACAATTCAGGGAAAAGCCTCTGCTGGAAACTGGATATGTTTTATTTTCCAAACTGCTGGAGTAGCTAAGAGATGAGAAATCACCTGGCTGTCCAGTGGGAGAGGTAGAAAATGCCTTAGAAATAATTTAGCCCAGTCTTACTTGCTACTCCTCCACCTCCTCCACTGTGCGCCTTACACACAAGAAACAGATCCTTGATTTCTCAGACTTCTACATAGCTCTTTTGCTCTGTTGGTTCTGAGGTTTGCATAGAATGAGGTATGAATGGGTAGGAGACAGTTAAGTTATGAAAGATGTTTAAGCATATCTCCTGTCTAGTGGCAAATGGCCAATAGGACAGATCTGGGCAAGGGCAAGGTAAGTCAACCCGTTTTCATGCCCTCTGCCTTTGCCTTGTTCCTGGCACAGTCCCAGCCCCACAGAGCTTCAATTGCTATTGGCTTTCCCATACACTCCCAGTCCCAACACCTGGGGTATGCCATGCTTGTGCCCTCTTATGCTCTCATTAAAGCCTAAAGTCCCATGATGCCCTGCTCTTATCCATCACAAAGCTGGCATGACAAAGTCTGGTAAATTTTCATTCATATCCCTTCCTGGGTTGTCAACTCTATCAGGTGGGAATGAATTGATCCATGAAGAAAATCTCCAGTGGAAGGTACTGAGCTGAGTATTTGCTCATGGGGAGGTACTGGGGACCTGGAGCTCAGTCAGTCCTGACTCCACATCTCTGAGCAACACCAAGTCAAAGGATATCTCAGTTAGTGTGTCTTCCTGTTCCTACACCCCAACCATTTTGGCTACTGGTAGAGGCTCTAAAAGTCAGAATTTAATGTTTATAGTTTTGTTAAAACCGTCAAGTTAAAAAATAACTCATTTTCATCTATGACAAAAGAAAAATGTATCAAAGTCTAGGAAGGATCTAGATTGCTGCTTCTTGATTTATGAGCACCAAAATGCCCTCCATCCTCAGACCTCTCCCCAAGAGACTCTGACTTGGTAGTTCTGGGAGGAGCTGAGATGGCATGTTTGGTGCCAGCTCCTCAGGATTCTCATGAACAGACAGTGTTATGGACCTCAGCACCAGCTTCTGGTACACATGTCCTTTTTGTATCTGGCAGGTTACCCACTGGCTGGCATGGAAGAGACAATGGCTACAGGTGAGAACTGTGTGTCCTTGGAAGCTCTGTTCATTGTCTTATAACTCAAGCTGTGAAGTGGTGTTTTGAGTAAATTATGCTAAAATGCTACTGCTCAGTCTAGGTCACCCCTCTTGAACTGTATTTTGGGTGAAGAGCCCAATAATGAAGGCCAATAAACCTGGGGCTCCAATTCCACTTCTAGTTAATCAAAGAAGGAAGTCCAAATAATAAATGATGCCAGCTTTCTTAGACTCCCAGCCCAGACACTGTGACTGAAGGGAAGACACACAACCACTTTTGGAGATGCTGCCAGGGTGGTACCCAAGGCCATGATTCTAAAGGGTGCCCACCACAATGAGCACGTTTTCCTTCTCTATCTTTTCCTGTTCTCCAATAATCTCCTCCTTCTCCACACTTTCTTTTTCATCTGCATTTTTCTCTTATGCTTTGTGTTTTCAGAAACTCCACTGGACTTTTCTTAGTACCACTTGGGGATAGAGGGATAAAATAATGCTGATGTCTAGAGAGCCTGGCTGGTCCTTCTAGAGAACAGACACAGGTAGATGATGGCCAGGGCCAATCAAGTGTTGGTCCAGTTCCCACATAGTCAGGTAATCTGATGGAGTAGTCAGCTATTTCCATTGCCACTGTCATCACCTTTGATCTTAGACCAAATGTTGGACAGATGGATAGACAGACAAGCAGATGAAGAAACAAATAGACAGATGGATGGACAGGTGGACATAAAATATTATCAGCCTTGGAGGGGTGGATGACTCAGGGCAATTTCTTTCTACTTAATAGATTTTTAAGAACATCATATAAGAAATGACAACTGATGGTGTGGGGTACTGCCATCATTACATACACAGAAGGTCCACATTGGCTCAGCACTAATTGGGAAAACTGAAGCAGGACTCACTCATTACTTCTAGTGACTGACAAAAATCAGAGCTATAGGACTCATGACTAGGAAGTAACCAGAGGGAAAGGTTCTGGCCAATATTAGAGGCCAGCTCTTCCCAGAAAGCTTATGTCAAAGATAGAAGTCTCCAAAGAGGTGGGAGATGTTTCAAACTTCAGATATGTTTATGCCCTAACTCTTAAGATTACAATACTTTTTAGACTAGTTAACCTCAGAGTGATGACTGATGAAATTTTGGAGGAAAAAGCAAAAAGGAAAAAAGTATGAATCATGAAAGTAGTAAAATGAACAATGAGAAAACTTAAATTCTAAAATATCTCTCTGCATTTAGAAAAATCTCAGTGTGGCAGCATTATCACCAACTCATCTGGAGGGATTAGGAATCCCCCGAAGAATGAAATGCACGACAACATAACCTGCGTGTGGGAAATCAAGACAAATGCATCTGATCATATACTGCTGGCATTTCCATACCTTAAGTAGGTACTAAGTACAGTAATTACACACATACACCATGCAGTATAAAACTCTAATAATTTGTTCCTTTGGTTGATTCACATAAGCAAGAGTCCTTAGTGCATTCTAACTTTTATTTTCTGAAATAACTATAGTACACACACGTAGGAATTGCAAAAGTATTTCAGAGTCTGTGCACCCCTCGCCAAACTTCCCCCAATGGTAGCATTTGCATGTAACTGCAGAAAAATATCAAAGCCAGGAAGCTGATAGTGACACAATACTGTTAGCTAGACTACACATCTTATTCAATTTCCACCAATTTTTACATGTACTTATGTGTGTGTGTCTGTAGTGCCACACAGTTTTACCCCACATAACCACTACCACATTCCAGATAGAGATCGGTTTCATTACCCAAAGGAATGGCCCTTCTACCTTCTGCTTTCTCAGGCTGACCCCTCCCATTCTCCTAACCATAACCTGTTCTCCATTTCTACAGTCTGACATTTGAGAATGTACCATCTGTAGCTTTGGGGGATTGTTTCTTCATTCAACACAACGTCCATAAGATCCATCCAGGTTTTTGCAGTGTCAACAGTTTGCTTCTTTTTACTACTAAAAAGCATTCCTCTCATATAGCTGTACCTGAGTTAGTTTAGTCATTTTTCCCCATTTGAAGGGCCTTTGAGTCATTTTTTTAGTCTTTGGCTATCATAAATAAACATTCACATAAGGTTTTTGTGTGAAGTTTGCATCTCTTGGTAATAAATGGCCAAGAGTGTGATTACTAGATTGTGTGGTAAGTACACGCTTAGCTTTTTAGAACATGCTGGACTGTTTTCCAGAGTGACTGCCACTTCATTCATGTTCCCACCAGCAACTAATACTATTTTTATGTTAGTTGTTTGAATACAAATACTGCATATATTTTGTTGGACTTTTATATAGGTATTTGTTTCTGTTCTAATTGTTATTGAGTGATTATAAATGATACAGTTTTCAGTTTTGTTCCCACATATTTATTGCTTGTATATAGAAATGTGATTGATTTTGTATATTTCCACGAATTTTTAATTAAAATGAAATTCGCCTTATAGCTTTAGGTAGGGGTGTGTGTGTTTGTGGAGGCGGGGAGAGAAAGAGAGAGACTATGTATGTTCTAACCAGCTAGTTAAAGATGCAGATTCTAGGATACCTTCAGACCTATTAAGTCAGGAAATTTTTTATTTTACTACTGTAAATACTCAAGATTGGGGTCATTCATAGATGAAAAGCATATGGAATTTAATCCCTAGGAAAACTCCAAATTATTTATTACTCTTGAATTTTATGCCATCGAAAGATACCTTGGAACAGGCAGCTCTTGGACTGTGGCGTGGGAATAGCTTCTGTTTCTAGCACCAGTGGCAGCTGTGCAAAAGTTCACAGAGAAACACAACAGCTGACGAAACTGGATGACTTCCACAAAGAGAGCAGGGCAGATTCATGGCCTACTTCCCTCTAGGAAGGTTGGGTTGTTTGGAACCTAGAGCCACATCTTACTATCAGGCCTAGAGAGGCCCATCAGCCTGTCCGTCATTCTAGACAGCTTCCCCATCCCTGCTGCAGTCACCACGAACTGCACATTGCAAAATTACCTTGATTAATTGTACCCCTCAGCAGGGGGTACACATGGAGCTAGCCCCTTCTCTGCTCTTTCAGTTAAAATTCCACCCCCTGAAGGAAGTGTCTTTCACACAGAAAAAAGCAGGGTAAAAAGATCCTGCTGTGTCTATATGACTGACCATCTTTTAACCTGTTCCCAGCATTCTTATAGTCACAAAATAAGGACCGTTTTACTGCATACCTCTTATAGCTTCTGATGAGGAAACAAAGAGGCATGCATGGGTGTTTGCCTCCTCAGCCTCGACTGCACCAATGAATATTTTGAAGTCCTGGATGGCCCTCCATCCTCCACAAAGTCCCTGGGGAAGATCTGCTCTGGTTTCTACCTCACCTTCTCATCCTCCTCCAACACAATGACCCTCGTGTACTTCCGAAACTTCAACAACATAGGGAAAAACTTTATTGTTTATTATTATTCTGCAACCAAAGGTAAGAAGGTTGGCAAGGAGTCAGAGTTCTGGACTGTCTCCTGAGTACCATCACTTGCTCTGTGACCTTGAGCAAGTTACTTGATCTCTCCTGCCTTCAATTTCCTCCCTGTATAATGGGGATAACAGAAGGACCTTACCTCCTAGGCTTGCCATGAGAGTTCCATGCAATGACACAATCAAAGCATTTAGCAAAGTGGTGACCCATCCTACAGTTGACAGCTTTATCTTGGGCTTTTAAATTCCATATAAATGTCTCATCACAGTCAGCTCATTAGCAAGTCATTCCTGGTGTTATTCTGAATCTAGTCCAAGATGGGTGTTTAGGGCCTGCAGAGGATGAGGCCCCAACCTAAGTGAGGCTCATGCAGAAACTAGAGGGAGTTCAAGAGAAATGCACACAGCATAACTGAGGACAAAAAGAATACACTGGATTGAGAAAAACCAATGGCACAGAACATTACTTGTATGTGCTAATTGGCCCATGCATACATCTTAGCAAAAGATATTAGGAGGGGAGACACTAATATGGGCAGCCTCAGGGGAAATTGGCCTTGGATTTGGCTTTAATGCTGGGTAGAGAAACAAAGAGGAGCAAGAACAGTGTGAGTCTAGAGTGGGATGTAGAAAGCATGTGCCAGGAAGGCAAATGGAAGGTAAGGCAGGGGTTTATATGAAGTGCAGTGCACTCAAGTTAGAAACAACAATAATACAACAGTGATCCCAATACTCAAAATAACAGCTGATGTTTGTTGAATGTCTATTATATGCCAGGCAGCATTTTAAGCTCTCTGCATGTTTTATTCTCGTATGAACCCATGGTTCTTTCCCTTTTATATATGGGAGACCTGAGGCTTAAGAGGTTCAGTAATCATCTGAGTTCTTGCACTGCTAACCACTGAGAACAAACAGGCAGAGCTCATAGAACTGCTGAGGCTTCAGGTCTGCTTTGTCCAGCTCACTGTTCAGAATGGTCTCCAGTGGGTTTAGCAAGTACCAAGTGACTCAGTGAGCAAGCTGTGGACACATGCTATAAAACTGAGGGGACCTTCGTATCACAAAGTAGATCTGAGGAATCACCATAATTGGCATCAAACAGCCACTGACAAAAGCTTCCTTGTATTTACAGGGACAGTGTCACAGACCCCACATCTGATCAGTGAGTTGACCTTCATGCTGTTACTTAATCTTCATCCCTAGCTCATGTTTCTTCCTCTGTCCCCTCTCTGGGTGCTTTCACTGTCATCATTTGATCTCTTTCATGTGTTTCTAATTCCCTGTACAAACTCACCATAGCTGGGATTCTGTCTGCATGGTCTTTGCACAAGTCTGATGCCCATTCATACTGGAACCAAGTTACACCTATCCACACTCGTGTCACCGTATGTTGATAATGGTTCTATTTGATTTCCTAATTCCTTGTTTTTATAAAGACAATGAAACACACCTAATCAGCTATTCCACATCTAGGGAAAATTAACAAAGCAGAGGCAAGCAGAAAAGCAACTGTTTTCCCCAAAAGGACACTGACTGTGAAGGTTTGCATTTTAGCACAAAATTGCACAATTTAAATATTGTGGTGTTTTTAGTGACCAAGCAGAAATTATTGCAGTTGCCCCCCACATACCAGAGAAACATAAGACCCACATGAAAAGAGAACTTGACTTGGGAGGTCACTTACTATACATACGTAAGGGAGAAAGAATCAGCTGGAGTCTGAGCATTTAATAGACTGATCCTGGAATGCTACCTCTTGTCTCGCCCAAGTCCTCCCTTCTTATTCAAGGTGTCTTCTTGTCTCCATAGCCATCCCCACAGCAGCACCCAAGTCAATAAGAGCAAGACCAGGTAAGCCATGGAATGTACACACTCGTGTACCAAATGCCCCTTCCTTTTGCCATCTGCATTTGCACCTGCTCTGTGTGCAGACACTAGACGTGCATCTATCTGCAGATGGCCAGCTGAGTGCACTCAAGCTTTTAGGGCTATCCAAAACTTTTAGAATCTACTGGTTTTAGTGTTCCAGAAGGATCAAAGTTCATTTTTTTCCTGGTGTTTTTCAAAGCCCTCAAAGCCTGATGCCTTCCGTGGAGTTTCTCTTTTCTTCTCAAGCCAGTCTCCATCCTCTTTAGCCTCACATCTGCACCACTAATCAACTTTTCCAAAGTGGGCAGAGTGTTAGAGCCATTCCAGGTGTAGTGAGATAAAGTAGGACAGAATAACAGAGAAGCACAGGGAACTTCTGACTAAGGGGACTTCAGATAGATCTTAGATTTGGAGTTAATCATCTTACATCTCCAACTTTCAGCTCCCTTATAGATAAGAATAATAACCAGTGCTCTGTTCTTTATCCCACTATATCTTTTTAAGTTATAAAGTTGACCACACACACGTGAAAGTGCTTCACAAAATCACAAAGCATTGTGCAAATTATTTGTTTTTTTTTTCTTGTTTAGCCAAAACAGATTGCCACATAACCTCTGGCAAAATAGATGCTCAGTTGATGGATTTTTTTTGCAGACTAAATGCTATTGGTAATCTTAATGATATCAAATTTCAATTTGAGGTTGACTGTTTGACTCTAATTGGTTCTCTATCTCTAGTAGTAGTGCAGGGATGGGAGCACAACCAGCTTGTGGAAGAGAGTCATGCTCCCTGAGGACAATAGTCACCAGGTCTCTGTTTGCAGGGGACTGGCCAGAGCTGCGGTTGGTGGGCGGTGCTGGGCGGTGCTCAGGACGTGTGGAGGTCTTTCACCAAGAAGCCTGGGGCACTGTGTGTGATGATCTGTGGGACCTGAAAGAAGCCGAAGTTGTGTGCCGGCAGCTGAGGTGTGGTGAGGCCATATCTGCCCTTGGGAAGGCCCACTTTGGAGCAGGCTCAGGAGACATCTTCCTGGACAACCTCCAGTGTGCTGGGGTGGAGCGCTCCCTGGGCCAGTGTGCCCACTCAGGCTGGTCGGAGCACAACTGTGGCCACCACGAGGATGCCGGAGTCATCTGCTCAGGTACCCCTCCCCTCTCAGGTGGGCACCACCAGTGCCACAGTATCCCAAGACTACCTGCTAAGATCTAGAGTCAGGCAGCCACAGGACAGGATCCTCAAACATGTGACACAGATTTTTGCCATACGTCTTCTGACTTGGTTAAATACACAGGGTTTTAAGAATCACCAAAAGTGTGTGTGCTTTAGTGATGCACACAGAGGATGTGCTCAGGAGCTGATAGAAAGCTCGCTGAAGGAGGCAGCCTGATGCAGTAATCTCGGGCAGCCCTGCGGCTCTGTCTCAGAGCTGTGCAAATATCCAGACTGTATTTGGGCAGCACTTCAACTCTCAGAATCTGTTTCTTTGTCTATAAAATTAGGAGACAAGTTACTTTCTTGCAGGATTGCTGAAAGCAGCAGAGATGTCTTTTGCAAAGGACTCACATGGTACCTGACCATGAGACTACATATTTAATTATTCTTACCTCATTCAGTCATAACACAAGGAAACCTGTGAACTAAAGTCACCAATTTTAAAATTGCCTTATAACAATTTTAATACCCTGTGTTTACCCATGTGCAAACAGCTGGGAGTAGGTTGCTCAACTCTGGGATGTTTATTATAACTTTCTGATAATGGGATGACCTTGATGAGCTAACAACTGCAATCTCTGACATGACTCGAAAGAATCAGGTACGATCAGGTAATTGTACCTTGAACTGGTGCTCATTCCACAGAGCTGCCCATGTGAGCAGCAGCTCCATTGTATGTCTGTCCTCATTACCTGCGGCTTTTCATTTAAGGCTTATGTTTAAAAGTGTTGTCTAAGCCAAGCATGGTGGTACACACTTATAATCCCAACACTCAGAAGGCTGAGACAGGAGGAGCAAGAGTTGGAGACCAGCCTAGGATACATACCAAGGCTCTGTATCAAAAACTCAATGAAACAATAAAGTGCTGTCTTGTGTATTAGCGTAGTCATTTGTTCATCCATTGGTTTTGTGGCATCTTATTGTATGTGCCATCTACAACCTAGTCACAGACTCATCTGCACATGTTATTCAGTGCAAGTTCTAGAAGATGATTGTCTAACCTGAGATTTCCCCCAAAGACATCCAAAGTGACACTCATCCACCACAAAATCAATAGTTGAGTCAGATGTACCCTTTCACAAGTGGGTGTTTTCTCACAACACAGTAGCAAACCAGCACAGAGAGAAGCTTACTTTTGTGACCATAGATGAATCTGTTTCTCCCAGTGCTGTTATTTAGAGGGACTAATTTTCCCATATTGGATTGGTAAATATGTATAAGGGCATAACTGAACCTCATCTTCACTTATTAAAGTCAGCATTTCCCCTTGTATGCACATATGAATAATAAAAATAAATAAATAAATAAAGTCAGCAATTCCCAAAAATACTGACTGTTTCTTTTCCCCATTTACAGATGCTAAAGAATCTCACTTTAACAGTTCAGGTTGGTAGCACCTTGTGTTTGGTGGGAGTTAAATATCAGCTGTACTTGACTTTGTCCTTGAGCTATTTTGTTCTGTACTTTTTCCAAAGTACAGAAACTGTCACACTGTTGAGATGCCATTAGAAAAATCTAACTGGAATTACTTCTGATGTTTCACGTGACAATGGCATTGTATGTTCATGTATGCTGTCACATGTATGTCCCTATTTCTATATTTTTGCATGTAGCTTGTAAAGCACTTGCATATTATGTGACAGAGAGGCTACATATTTGATCATTCTTACTATGATTTTCTTCACTTAATCATAGCACTAAGGAAAAAAGTTCATGCAAAAAGTGAAGAGGCATTGTAAGGGTTTTGTTTTGGTGTTTTTTTTTTTTTCATCTGCTCTTCCTGCTAGCTCAAAGGACTTTCCCCACCTCTTCCCTTGGCTAGTTCCTTCTCACTTTTCAAAGAGGTGTCTCCCAGGCTCCTCCTCTCTGTCATTCTCTTCATAGCACTCTGTTCTTTCCCTTCTATGCATTTATCATAGCATTGTACTGGTGTCTGTATTTTACTAGTTAATAGACTTGGACTCCTTGAGAACAGAAACCATTTCTCATGTGTTATGGCTCCTACAAAGCCTAACATAGGAGACAATCAATAAATAATTTTGAAATAAGTGTACTGCAGTCCCCACACCCTGCAATTCAAGAGCCCATGAGAAGTATAAGGAACAAGCTCCAAGACTCAAGGCTAGGGATGTCCCTCCCCAGCCCAGCCCCTGAGTCAGGTGCTGTTCCAAGCCAGACTGGGCTTTGAAGAGTCACACACTACATCTCTGTCTGCAGGAGACCAGCCAGAGCTGCGGCTAGTGGGCGGCTCCAGTCGGTGCTCAGGTCGCGTGGAGGTCCTTCACCAAGGGGCCTGGGGCACTGTGTGTGATGACCTGTGGGACCTGAATGAAGTTGAAGTTGTGTGCCGGCAACTGGGATGTGGTCAGGCTGTTTCTGGCCCTGGGGGGGCCTACTTTGGTGCAGGCTCAGGAGACATCTTCCTGGACAACCTCCAGTGTTCTGGGATAGAACAATACCTGGGCCAGTGTGCCCACTCAGGCTGGTCGGAGCACAACTGTGGCCACCATGAGGATGCCAGTGTCATCTGCTCAGGTATTCACTTTCTGATGTTACAGTTGAAGACATCTGAAACTGTCTTTCATGGGTAGAATTTTCCATTCATCTACCCATCTTCTCATTGCTTGCAGATGCAAAAGATCCGCCTCCACCCACACCTCCAGGTACATCCATATTTTTCCCTAGTTCAGGAAACTATACAATGCTACTACTAATAATAACAAATACTTATAAATGCTAAGATCCAGCTTTTCACATATATACAGATGTCCAACTTTCTATGGGGTTATGTCCCTATACAGACTGCAAATTTTAAAATATCATATAGGACAAAAAATGCATTTCATACACCTAGCCTTCTGAACTTCATAGCTTAGCAACATAGCACACCAAAAGTACCTGCTGTTTACCTTCATGGTCTCATTGCTGACTGGAAGTTATGCTTCAATGCCAATATTCAAATGAAGGCTCATCTGTAGTTTTCTCATTTCATATAAATTTTATAGATGATAGAGAAATGAGGAAAACAATGTTGAGTGGAAGAAACCATGCCGGTTATCTACGGCTACCCCAAACCTTAGTAGCTCAAAACGACCATCATTTAGGCATATGCCATGGTTTTGTGGATCAGGAATTTGAGCAAGGCTCAGCTGGAAGATTCTTCTGCACCACAGAGCACTGAGAAGGATTGCTTTCTGCCTTGGTGATGACAGCTGGGAAGATGGGCTCAACCAGGGTCATCTTCCTTTCTAGATGGTCTCAGGGCCTCTTCACATGATCTCTCCCACAGTGTGATTAGACTTCTTACAAGGTGATTCAGTACTTCATGAGCAAGTCAGCAGCCTCAGAGACAGGAAGTGGAAGCCACTGGTCCCTTAAGGCACAGACCACTTCTGCCATTGTTCAAAGCAGCCACAGAGCCTACTCATGTTTCAAGGAGGGAATCTAGACCTCATCTGGTGATAGGAAGCATGTTCAAGAATTTGTGGCCTGCTTTGATCTTGCCACAAAACCATAGAGAATATTCACTCAGCAGCTTCAGACTTCTCCTCTTCTCAGTTTGTACCAAGTGCATTGATGTTTCCAAGAAAACTCTTTACACTTCGCTATGAGACTAAATATTTTTCCCCAGATGTCATTAGTATCTTCTTCCCTCCCCCCTACTTTCAGGTACTTCTACAGCTTCTCAAGATCATGTAACAGGTAATTTCTAACTTATTTTAAGTTAAAATGATAACTCCATGTCAAGAAGCAGCACAGCAGATACCAGGCAGTATGCCTGGGGAGTAGCACAAAGCAGATGAAGGATCTGCTTCTCTGCTGCCACTATGTAAATGCTGACTTCTGATTTCTTAAGAGGAGGAGCAAGCTGGGCAGGAATGAGTTGGATCTGCCCAGGTCAGAGTAGACAGGAGAGTGACAAAAAATGAGAGAATGTGACCTCCAGTCCCCACACTCACCCTGGCCCCCACTCACCCTGCCTTCTTTGAGCACAGTCCTAGCAAGCGTTCATTAAGGCACAGTCCATATCCCTGCCATGCATGTGGAGGGATTATAGAAAGTTCAACTCCAAGGGACTCAGCATCAGTCTGACCTGCCCCCATTACTGTAAGCTACAAATGTGATCAATGACAGAATCACAGGATTCCTGGAGCATTGCTACCGCCCACCATCCATCTCAGCAAAGACTAGGAGACTGAAGGCCTCTGGGGGAATTACAAGTTAGGAGGGACAGAAAGGAGAAAAATTAAGCAACTTAATAATATTTAGGGACAAGGTCAATAAAGGATATTATGTTTTCATGTTTCCATCATAGTTTTCCACTTCTTTATGTAGCATGCTGCTTTAAACACATGTATATGCATGTATATATTTATACAATATGACAACTATGTGAAAGAATTAAATTTCACTGATATTTTGTTAAACCCTTATAAGTCCCCAAACCTGCCACTTCCAGTCTGAGTATACTGAGTTAAAGGAAACATGATCTACTCAGAATAAGTGTGGAAAAGTTTTTAGAGGAGATCCCAATCATAACATCCCAAAACAATGCACAGTGTCCCTTTCCCTCCATGTCTGACTCATCAGACCCCAGAGCTGTTCTACAGCCTTTTGCTCCCCAAACCTCTCCATGTTCAGCCTGTCTCTACCTTAAAATTTTTCATTATGGAGGTCTATTTTGTCTCTCTTCCAGCAAGCAAAAGTCCTTGCACTGAAGAAAGGGGGAGGAGGCAGTAAGCAGAGAGGACAAATATAACATTTCTTTATCATGTAGTAGAGAGAGAGGGAAAGACAGGGAACTCTCACATGTTAATACCTTTTTGGTTTTTGTAGGACTTCGGTAGGAATTCAGGCACTCTGACTTGAGCCACACCTCCAGTTCATTTTGTTCTGGCTATTCTGGAGATGGGGGTCTCGCAAACTATTTGCCCAGGCTGGAACCACAATGCTCCTGATCTCAGCCACAAGTAGCTAGGATTACAGCATGAGCCACCAGCACCTGGCTGATGATACTTTTTGACCCATCAGAATGTGTGAACTCTCCTCAGGTGTTAAATTATCTGCTCAGATAGCTGTATGAGTCACACCTCACCCAGACTGACTGTTACCCAACAACACTTGACCGCTGGCTATGAGCTGTCATTCTTAGGATCACACAGGGACTTCATGTGGCCACTTCCTAACATCCTTTTCCCTTTTGTTTCAGAAGGAAGCAGTTCTTGTGGAGGAGTCATTTCTAGTCTCTCCGGCTCATTTTCTAGTCCACAGTATCCAGAAAACTACCCAACAGACATCCAATGTGTTTGGGAGATCCATGTGGATAAAAAATTTCGCATAGAACTCATAATTCCAAGTTTGAAGTAAGAAAACGCCTTGTGGGGGGGTAGTACAGAGGGTTGATCTTAGGCTCTACCACCTGAGCCACTCTGATGGCCCTTTTTGCTTGGTTATTTTTGAGATGGATTCTTGCTTTATGCCTGGGCTGGCACAAACCATGGTCCTCCTATTTGTAGTTCCCTGGTAGCTGTGATGACAGGCATGCACCCCGCCCCCAGCTTTATTGATTGAGATGGGGTCTTGAGAACTTTTGTCTGGGCTGGCCTCCAATTGAGATCCTCCCAATCTCTGCTTCCCAAGCAACCAGAATTATAGGCCAAGAAAACAACTTTGAAAGGAAAATTCTATCTAAATAAGAATATTGTTTTGTGAAATTATAATAAAGATTTTCTTCTAGTGAGAAACATTTAAGAATATAAACAGAAGAACACAAAACTCTACAGTTTTTCCGAGTTCAGATTGGGTTAATTTTATAGTGATATCCAGTGAGTCACTTCTAGCCTGAAAAACTCAATAAGCTATTAACATATTTGACTTAACCTTACTTTGATAGTTTCCCTTTTGATAATTTTTTTCTAAAATTTTCACAAAAGTGCTCAACATGTTCACCTGTGTAGGACACTGGCTACCAATATTTGTCCTCTTAGATTTTCTTCAAATTTTAAACAAGCAGTAAGAGACTTCCCTTATACATACATTAGACAATTATTCCAGCCTTGGGCTGTGCATTTTCTAAATGTTCCACAAAGTGAAAGGGGAGAGAAGAACCATTGCCTCATCTCTGACATACACAGAATAGATGTTCCAAAGTCACTGCTACTTTTATCTCCATGACATAAACAAGAGCTGACACTTTTCAATGCCCAGACTCTGTGCTGTATGCTTTTATGCTTTGTCACATTCCAGGGTAATTATAGCCCAAAGATAGGTGTCCTTGTCACCTTCATTAGAGATGAAAGGATAGCTCACTTGCTCAAGGACAACCCATGTACGTCTGCCAGATATCAAAAGCCCCAGCCATTCACCAATAAGTGGTTCTTTGCTTTTCATTTGAATTTCTTTATCAGTGATGCTAACTGCATCTTCTTAACTCTGATTTGATTTTAATGGGTTTCATTATGGCATTTTCATACATGCATATGTGATTCTCTGAGCAGCGCCTGTATAAAGCTCTTCTTGTTGTACATGACACATGTCATCTTACAAAACAGTAAGGCCATGGAGTTCCATGATAAACCAGCCTCATCAGGCATTGAATTATTCTTCAATCATGACTATACCAAGGTCCTGGGTTCAGGCTCGCCCAAAACAAAACAAAAAGTCCTAAACCATATCTTTCTTTATTGACTGAAACCCTGTGTATGTTGCAATTGGCCAAACCTATTAATATTTTAAGCATTCTGATAGAAAGTTGTGACCATAATCTTCACATGTTCCTCAGGTAAGGAAAATAGAGTTCTGATAAAGCACCTGAAAAAGCTCATTAATATTCAGTTATTAGTGTGCAATTAAACTATAATCTAAATATTTGAGTTCTGATTGTCACTTTTTTGGCATTGATTTTGAGGATGTTTGTTACCTGCCATTAATTCCCCACTTCCCTTCCTCCCAGACTGGAAGATATTCTTGGATGTCCCTATGACTCAGTTGAAATCTTCGATGGTCCCAGGATTGCCTTACTCTCCATGGGGAGGTTCTGTGCCCCAGTGGCTGTGATGTTTTTCTCCTCCTCAGACATCATGACAGTGGTGTTCCAAAGCGATTATATGATAACCAACACTGGCTTCTATGCTCTGTTCAATGCAGTTCCACAGGGTGAAAGCAAGTCAGGTAGGAAGCTTCAAGTAGCTTTTGATTTATAAAAGAGAACAGCTTCTGACTTGAGAGAATCTTTATTAGCAGAGGTCTGGGACCTCCATACTTAGCTCCGTCATCTCTGCTCAAAAGGTCTGTAGGAAAGCTATATGTTACATGGGTTTTGAGGTTGTATCACCAGCACATTGGGAACTGTCCAAAGTGCTGACACATGGAAGCCCAACACTCAGGAGATTGCACTTCTCTCTGCCAGCTGGCCCGTTTCATTCCTTCCATGCACTGGTTCCTAGACTCATCCAAATGAGAGGCTTGGGGACTCCTGTTAACCTTGACCCTGTAGGCAGTCATTGCAAAGCCAGGTCAAATTTTCACCCTGCAAGCACACCACTGGCAGATTGTAGGACTTCTGATCCTTGGGGTTCCCTTCAGGAACCCAGCAATTTTTTCAGGCCACCAGAAAACCAGCTAGCAAGTCCTTGGATGAAGTTTGAGTTTGTTTCTGAGAAGGGTAATTCTTTGTATAGGATCCTAAATGTTATGTTTAAGATCCTGCCCTGGGGAAGCTAAGTAAGCTCCAGCATCTGAAATCCAGACCACTCACTGTCTCAAGACCACCACTCACTTGTCTCACAATGGTTACATGCCACAGGGTCTGCTATATACCAGACCCAGCTAAGTGTGGGGACACAAAGCAAATACTCCAGCAGCTCCTGGCCTTGTACTGTAGTGTGGATGTGAGTCAGTGAGGAAGGATTAAAGCATAAGAAACAAGCAAATAATGAGCTTGTGTAGGAGCAAGGATGGTAAATAGTTAGATAATGGCAGGGGTAAAAAGGCAGGAGGCATAGTAGAGCATGCCTGGGTAGAGAAAGGGCTACTGTGGACTGGCTGGGAATAGATGACCTTTCTGAGGAGGGGACATGTGATGACTGACAATGGAGGGACAGTCCAGGCAGAGAGAACAGCAAATGCAAAGAGTTTCATGGGGAAAGAGCTGGAAATATTGGAGCAACAGAAGGAAGGTCAGAGTGGCAGAGCCCATGGGCATAAGAAGAGGATACTGTCCCTACAGTGTCTCCAGGAGAGAGCAGATAATTCTAACTAGCCATAGCCCTTTGACCCATTGCCCCTGGGCTCAATGAAGTCACGGTTACCTTTGTGGTTCAGTGCCACAAATATACACTTATCCAAGATACACCCCCCAGAAAACAGCTGGGAAGCCACTTTCCCAATAACCAGCATTTTGACGGATAACGACACAAGTTCGGCAGTAACCATGATGTGTTGGGTGTCAGGATATGAGCCTTAAATGCACACTCGTGAACTCATTCCCATAACCTTCTGATTAATGTTGCTGGAGTCCCCATTTTACAGATGAGGAAACTGAGGCCCAGGGAGACAAAATAACTTGTCAAACATTACAGAACTAGGAAGCAGTAGAACTAGGATTCATCTTGGTTTCTGTCTCACTCTAACTTCCTTGAGCCTGTTATAGAATCAAGACAGTTTTAAGGTTTTTGCTATTGTATGACAGCTTTGTCCATAGCTTGGATCAAAAATCACATCCTACACAAAACCTCCCAAACTCAAAAATAAAAGCCTTCTCTGTTTAAAAGGTGAACCAGTACTACATCTGGTGGGTGGCTCTGGACAGTGCTCGGGACGTGTGGAGGTCTTCCACCAGGGGACCTGGGGTACCGTGTGTGATGACCTCTGGGACCTGAATGAAGCTGAAGTTGTGTGCAGACAGCTGGGATGTGGACATGCCATTGCTGCTCCAGGAGAGGCCCACTTTGGCCCAGGCTCTGGAGAAATCCTCCTGGACGATATTCAGTGCTCTGGAAGTGAGAGCCACCTTGGCCAGTGCCCCAGCTCCGGCTGGTTAGACCACAACTGTGACCACCATGAAGATGCTGGTGTTGTCTGCTCAGGTATCCTCTCTTTCCATGGTTGGTTCTTTCTATGAGGCATCCTAGTGATGGATGGAGGCCATGCCCAGAGCAGGGCCAGGGACCTAAGGACAGTGGTCAACAGATGAATGTCACTTCAGCCAAGTAGGCAGAGAATGCTGACAGCCTGATGGTTCTTCGGACAAACACAACAGGGTCACTCAGTTAGGTGGTCTTGTTCTCTGCATCTTCCCCAGGTGTGAGCTGAATTTCCAGATAAAATCATGTCCTTGTAGTGGCTTGCTTGCTTACGTAACATGGAGGGGAGTCTGCCTGCTCGAGGCCCACCCTCACTAGAAAACCACCACTTCTTTGTCTTCATCTAATTTAATTTAGATTCTCTAAATTTACTCATTTTTCATGCATGCAGATGCTGGAGACTGGGCTGCAGATGTGATTCCTCCACCCCCAGGTAGGTCCAATACTGTGAGTTTCCATCTCTGCAAAGTAAAAGAGAAATCTAACCTGTGTCCTGACCTAGACAATGGGGGAACAATGACCAGACTTGTGATTTCTGATTCTGGCTGCACACTAGAATCACCCAGGGAGCTTTTGAAAATTCCAGTGTCCAGGCTGTTTCCCAGACTGGTCACATCAGAATCTCTGGAGTCACTCCTAGTCACTAGTAATATTTTTAAGGTCCCCATGTGGTTCCAATGTCCAGCCAAGGTTAAAAACCAGTGGCTCAGCTGGAAGCTAACAGTCATATTTCCCAAATGGAATTAGATCCCAAACTCTCCTCTCTGATGGCAAATCAAGGAAGGACAGGAGGGGAAATGTTCAATCCCTGCCTGAGAAGACAGTCGATGTGGAAAGGAGAGACGGTAGAAAGGTTGCATCTTGGGGATGTGAGTTAGAAAATGAAAGCATGCAGGAAAACGAAGATGTATTCAATCAAACTCTCCCAGTGGGTCAAGAACAGACTGATGGCAAGAAGTAAACCTTTTGAGATTCGTCTGTGGGCCTCCTGACTAAGCCAACACAGCAGAGAAATTTCTGGTAACATTCTCAGAGTTGGTGTGCAGCAATAATCTTCTAAACTCAGGATTCCATCTAAATGCAGCACACATGTGATCCTTCCTTCTACCTCTTTCTTCTTCTCATAGATGGGTTCTCAGCTGCCTTCCTCCCTGCCCCTGCTCCAGGGGCTCATACTAGCTCTTCCTTAACCCTGCCCGGTGACCACCCTCTGCCCCAGTAAGGGCCTGGGCACCAGTAACATGTCAAAGTTGACAGTGTACCTTAGTGTTTCAGGGCCCAGAAAGGTGGCTGGCATACACCCCTGTCTATGGTACATTTAATAGAAACGTGGTGATGATCTCTTGTCCACTTTGATCTAAGTCCTGAGTGCATCCCAGGGTGGAGGTCACCATGCATGAGGGTTGCCATCTGCTGTGGAATGGAGCAGCCACCTGGCTGAGACCTCACATTTTCATTTTGAACTGGAACCCACAAATTATGTAGTAGCCCACAAAAGGAGGCAGGGCACACAGAACCCTTTATGAAGATCTAAAAAGTGGCTAAGCCCCTTTTGATTGCCTCTGGCTTTCCGCTTCTTTTCCAGGGAGGATCCATTTTAGCCTGGGCCATAGAAGAGGAATGCTTGATAGGAGAAGGAAGGGCATGGCTTTTTGTTCATCAGCTAGCTCTTTGCCCAAATCCCTTGGTGCCTGGAATTTCAAATCTCAGAAAGCCTTTCTTTCTTCTCTCTAATATAATATTCCTTTTTTGAGTCATAGGTATAGCTGGCTAGAGAAGAGAATGGGTCATGGAATAAAAGAAACTGTAGGAAGAAATGGAACTTTTGTGACAAACAGAATCCCTCTGTGAACATTATTTCAGTAAACCACTTATTGATAGAACATGATACATCTGCTTAGGCATTTAATCATGACATGTAAGGGCAATATTGTATATCAAGCATTTTAACCAAAGCAAATTGCTCCTGAGACACCTATGTTAGAAAAAAAATTCATTCTACTGATAGACAACTCTGTCCTTGACAAGGACTGAGAAGGACGGCCAGTGGAGCATTTGTCTCCTTCACTGCTCTCCTCTCACAGCAGAGCTGGCTGACAATGAGGTTAAGAATTCCCAATCCATCCTACCTGTCTGCTTCAAATTCTTTCCCCTGTAAACACTTCATGTAAAGCTCAAGCAGGTATCAACAATCCAATGGTCAGGCTTTCAAAACTACCTGCAGATTAGTGAATGTTGAAATATGTGCCACATTAAAGTCAAAACCAACAAAGCACATGAGAGGAAAAAGAAGGGATTTTAAGCATCACTGGAGTTCCCCATTTCAGGCCCATCTTCCTTCACGGGAGCCCTTATCCAGCCTACCCTTCCCTATCTTGGCTCTAAGGTTTCTAGTTTTTGACCTTCTGGATTTTGGGCACTTGGTACATTTCTATAGACACAGTGGCATGTTCACAAATCCAATAGTGTCACCATAGGTAATTCCTAGTGACTGATCAGTCTCAAAACAGCCCTTGACTTGGTGGCCCTAGCATGTAAGAGAAAAAAAATTAAGTAGTTGTGTATTGTCTGATTCACTGATGAATCAACTAAAAGAAGTGGGAGGCTGCATACCAGATAAGAGAGAAATGGTGTCTCCACACCATTTATTAAAACTAGAGTTGTAGTATGTTCATTTGTTTGTACTTAAGTATAAAATGACTTCGTGATGCTAAGCTCTCTCCTGATTTTCTTTGGTTTTGATTTTTGCAGCTTCCATTTCTCAAGCCCCTACACCACAAGGTAACTAAATATTCAAAGTGTGACCTGTAAAGTGTTATATTGAGTGGGTTCATTTTAGTAATTCATCCAAGCAGAGTGAACCTCTGTCTGTCCTGTCTGCTATGATGGGAAGGAATGGGTGGGGTGGGTTGTCCACACTGAAGTCAAACTCTTTGTAAGACAGCAAAATGGAGAGGGCATTAAAGAAGTATAGCTTGGATACCCACACATGCTACATACACTTGTTCAATCTCATTTCCAGTCTCATTCACAATCAATTTTAGGGGGCCTGCCTGCCAGCTATACACATTTCATCTTGTCTTATGCTATTTCAGAAAAAACAGTCATTCACTATGCCAAGCCACAACTATGTCCAGACCAGCACAATCCCTTCCCAATATTCCACCATTGAACTTGGAATTCTGGATTCTACACCTGGGAAAATGCAAGGTGCATGCAAAACCAACCATAGATCTCTTGTCTACTCTCACAGAAGGAAGTAATTCTTGCGGGGGAGTAATTTCCAGTCTTTCAGGCTCCTTCTCCAGCCCCTGGTATCCTATGAACTACCCCACTGATGTGGAGTGCATCTGGGTGATACACGTGGCTGAGAAGTTCCACATAGAGCTGATGATCCCAAGCCTGAAGTAAGCAGCTTTGATTTTCTCTACCTTAAAGACCAGGCTACTTTTGAGTCTGTGCTTTCCTCAAAGTGGTGGCCTTTCCATGGAACATCCTTACACGTTTTAGGTGAGAATTGGTCTAGTCATCTAAGTTGTGGCAGTGTTTTAGTCATCTAGCTCAACTTTCTATTAAATGAGAGAATATCCTATGAGCATCCAGACACCAGGCCGTGGAGCCCTTGCTGGGGTGGCTCACACCTGAAGACCTCACCCCTGCACCCTCACCCAGCTGCATGGGAAACACAGCTTCTTCCTCCTGCTCAATCGTGATCTGTTCTTCATCATTCCCTTGGTTGCTACAAAAGCAAATCTGCTTCCTTTCCCTTCAAGAATTTCTGTCATGTCTCTACCATAAATTTTCCTCTACAAATTACAGGGTTCATTCATTCTTCCCATCATGTATGTACATTGTACTTCCTTCTTCTTTCTCTAACCATCACCCATTTTTTAAAGGAATTCATTCAATTTCCATGTATATTTATATGTATGTGTACACAGCTGTCCCTTGCTATCTGTAGGAGACTGGTTCTAGGATCCACCTTTGCTATCAAATCCACAGACACTCAATTCCTTTTATAAAATGTCATATTATATTCATGTAACCTATACATATCTTCCTGTATACTTTAAATCATCTCAGATTACTTATAATATGTAACATAATATAAATAATTTATAAATAACTGTTCTGTTGTTTAAGAAGTAATGACAAGAGAAAAGTCTGTACGTGTTCAGTATAGGCACAATTTATTTTCCAAATATTTGTGATCCACAGTTGGTTGAATCTTCAGATGCAGAACCTGCAGATAGAGGGCTAACTACATACACATGCATATATTCATGTATGCATTCATTTGCATGAATAATTTTTATGGAAAAATTACTTTTTCTGGACTACACTTAACCCTGGTTTCCTCTTTCAATACTGGGTCACTTCTGGGTCATTCTCTATTCCTGATTTTGTCCTGTGCACAGTATGTCCCAGACTGCTGCATTATTTTCCATCTGTGCTATTGGCCACAAGAGTCTAACTTTATAAATGCTGCCTTCAAAGGTGTAAACAGGGTAGGAATGGAGTGAAGTAGATTAACTACATTAACCTGTGTCTAAATTCCTTTTGCATAGAGAGGACACAACCTAATGTCAGGAGGTATTATTTATTAAGAGCAAAATATATTTACCATTCATTCATTCATCACACATAAATTTGTTGAAAACAATGTGAGAAGATTTGGTACCATATATTTCAAATCTGTGAAATTCACAGTTTAATATTTGGGTCACAGAATGTTATTTCCACACTTCTGGAAAACAGTTATTCCAAACATCTGTAATGGCCCACACCCACCTGTAATCTAAAGACTGGTGTCCCAACATAAATTCCTACTATAATTTTGAAGTACACAAATCAAGGAGTTGTTTAAGTTGTTGGCTAAAACCAGAGGATAGTCACTGCTTGGGGGGTGGAGGAAGCTTTAAGACTAAATTTATTGATATTTGATTTTTGTTTCTCAGGACATAAAATTAGTTATTGTTTACAAAGTAGTTTTCAACAAGGAGTGATTATAACCACCTACAGGACTTTTGGCTGCGTCTGGAGACATTTTTGATTGTCACAATTGGAGAGCGCCACTGCCATCTAGTGGACAAAGGCCAGGGGTGCTGCTAAGAGTCTTCCAATACTCAAGCCCCATCCCCTTCCTTCCCCTCTGTAGCAAAGAATTACCCAGCACCAATGTCAGTGGTACTGAGATTAAGGAAACCCTGATCGACACTGAACATTACTTTGTTTTTTCTATTTCAATTCCTATAGAACTTTACTTCACACTCAATTTCTTTTAATATTATATCCATATTTAAATAAGGCCATTTCATTTTTCCTAAGTATATCCTGCTTTCTGAGGAAATAATTTTTCAGACTGAAGTGTCATCTATGTGAAAATGGGTAAACTGATGTATTATAAAATTTGGGGGGAATTTATTTGACAAACAAGGATTCATGAATCAGGCAGCTCCAACCAGAAGTGGTTCAGGAGCTCCAACCCAAGGCCTGTGAGGAGAAGGCCTTTATAGGGCACATAGAAGTAAAGCAAGGAAAACATCTGCTTGATTACAGATGGGATGGACAGTTGGTCTATCCTGTTGGAAAGTCCATATTATGTAATTTTAAGTTTGTTAGCCGCTTCTGGTTGCAGCTCAAGTTTGGTTTTCTTTGCTACTGACATTTATAAGAAATAGCTCAAGTTGAATTTTGCTTACATTTGTAAATCAAATGAGGTCACTTATGAGTGTCCTAGCTGGCTTGTCTGTTCAGAGATTCTTCAGACCTGGTTTCCATTTTAATTTAAGGCCTGATGCTGCTACACTGTTGCACCTTATACACAAATATTATCACTCACTTTCTCTTAAAAATTAAAAAATGGTTATTTTTAGATTGACTTCTACTTCACTGGAATAAGTGTGTTCGGCAACAGTGGGTTTCCAAATTCAGTTTTTAGTTCCTCTGCAGATACTTGTCCCCACTGCACATGGTGAGACTTTATAATGTAGGCATCAGAGGCTCCTTTGATGCATATTTCACATTTTGTTAGATAGTTGTTGGTGTGCTTTCCACATGTATTTATTGAGCCCTCACTCAGAGTGAAGAGTCCAGTGCTGAATGAACAGACAAGCTGTCTGCCTCTGCAAGTTTACATTCTAAATGGAAAGACAAGTAGTATCAGAATAAACCATTAACTCAACAGGGTAATTTCAGAACGTGATAAGCTGCTAAGTGCTGTGAAGTGAACACAGTAGAAACCTATCATGCTTCACTGAAGAGAAGGAGACAGCAGTAGGTAGGAAGGTTGGAACACCTCTGGTCATCCAGGTTAGATGACACATGTGACAATCTGAACATTGGAGAGTCCTCCCACCAGGCCCTGGAGCATCTTACAGCTGTCATCATTTCTCTCTGCTCAGGGTCCTGAACATTTTACTTCTTGAGACCTTCTTGGGTACTTGCCACCACCTCAGGAAGTCATAGGCATTATGGGGACACTCAAGGTAGAGAGGAAGAGGGTGGGAGAGACTGGAAGCCAGGATTCCAAATGAGAAGCAGTTGAAATTGGCTGAGTGAGAAGGGGACAAGGTAGTCCCAGGAGGGAAGCACTCAAGTGATGAGTGGGAATGTGATTGAAAGTTGATGGCATGGATGATTGCTGTGTCCCTTAGGGAGACTAATGGTGCCTTCCTTCATTCCTTCAGACTAGAGGACATTTATGGGTGCCCTTATGACTTTTTGGAGGTGTTCGATGGACGGCAAGCTGCCTCGCTCTCCATGGGCAGAGTCTGTGCTGGGACAGAGCTCACATTCCTCTCTTCTTCAAATGTCATGACTGCAGTGTTTAGAAGTGATGCCATGGTCACCAACACAGGGTTTTATGCTCTGTACAATGCAGTTCAGCAAGCTGAAAGGCAGAGTGGTGGGTATCCTAACATGTGCCTTGATGGGTAGTTATGTCTAGCTTGTGTCCTTTTAAGAGAGGAGACTCTTTCTTCTTTTTCAAATGTAGCCCAGGCTGGCCTCGAACTGGCAATCCTCCTGCCTTTGCTTCCCAAGTGCTGGCATTACAGTTGTGCACCATTATGCCCAGCTCAAGAGAGGAGACTCTTTCTAAATATGACCTGATAAGTGCTTTATTGATGGTATCCCAAGCAGCATCCACCCTGACACTAAACAGCCCTCAGTCCCAATCCCTACCCCTTCTCACCAACTGTCACCCTCGTCCACCACAGCATCTCCACTGAAAACACATGTGGCTGACATCTCCTGTCTTACATTGTTTGTGTGTGTTGATAGAGAACCTACTTGAGAGCCTCCTTTCCCAAAGAAAAGGGAAAAATCATTCTTGAACAAAGCTATCACAAAATTAACTACATCAGTCTACCTGCTTCCTGCTGAATTCAGCCAGGACTATCCTAGGAAATCTGGACACAGGTCCACCCTACCTAAGGTCCAACAGTCTAATAGGGCAAAATGTACCCGAGCACTGGAGGGCATTTTCAACCTGTAGAAGGTCCTAGAGTTTGAGAACAGTTCCATTGCTCAGAAGTCCCTGTCTTCCTGTCCTCCAGGTATGTTCTTGCGACTGGTAAATGGCAGCCACCGGTGTGAGGGCCGGGTGGAGGTCTTCTACAATGGCACATGGGGTACTGTGTGCGATGACAGCTGGGACCTAACAGATGCCAAGGTGGTGTGCCAGCAGCTTGACTGCGGGGAAGCTCTGTCAGCCCCAGCTCAGAGCTACTTTGATGGAGGAACTGGTCACATCATGCTGGATGGCGTGCAGTGCTCGGGGAATGAAGACAAGGTGTGGCAATGCACACACAATGGATGGTTTGCCCACAACTGTGGCCACCAAGAGGATGCCAGCGTCATCTGCTCAGGTGAGCACTGTGAGCACGTAGCACACCTCAGTGGGAGAGAGACTCACCTACCTGTAGCCTCAACACCAACAGTCCAGAGTAATGAGCTCTGGACTTTGAGACAGTATTTTAGGTCCATTTGTTAAAGAGTTAGTTTTCTTTCTCTTAGAAAACTAATGCTCAAGATCCCATCCAAAGAGTTATGATGAAATAGAGGGTTAGTGTCATCAAACATGGTATTCCTGGCAGGGAATGCCCAAGCACTGGTAATAATCCATTTCTTGAGTAAGAACAGTAGCTAGTTCCCAATGGGTGCTAAACCCATGCCAAGCCCTGTTCTGCAACCAGTACATTTGTATTCTCATTTAATTTTCACGACCTCTAATAATGTCAGCTGTTCACATCTGTACTTCATTGGGAAGGCACCAAAGGCATATCCAAGATCACATGCAGGCCTGCACTCCAAAAGTATTGCCTCACTGAACTTCAGCTCAGTGTCAAAAACTGAGCTTGACTCTGTTACATGAAGTCAATCACCCAATAACTGACCAAAAGCAGATAAATGCCATGCTACATTTGAGCCACCCAGATGTCACTGATCTCAACCAACTTGTATAGAACTTGATGCTACTTTCCCAATGACCCAAAGAGAAATATATTTTATCCTGAACAACATACCTGATTTTTCTTATGAATTATGTGATCACCTTACTCAACCCACCTCTTATCCTCTCACCTGTCTTGGAACAGGTATCAAAGGCAATCCAAGTGGAGGACCAACAGGTACCATTTGTCCATACAGTTCATTTATTTATTTGCCAGATCCCTAATACCTGGCTATAGTTCTGAGGTTGGGGCACAACCTAATTAAATTCTCTTTTGGTAATTAACAAGAGAAATGCAGCCCATTTGGGGCTGACAAGATGGTGGGACTGAGAGTGGGAAGAGAGGTAGGAAGAAAGGAGGCTCAGATTCATCGCAGCTACTCCCCAAGTCAGCATCTACTTAGAGCAATGGTCATGCCTTGAGATGTGGGGGCAGTGAGGAATTAAAAGTCCCAGGAATTAAAAATCCTCAGCAAGAGTTGGGTGGAGCCACACCTGTCCACACACTTAGGGAGCCAGAGTCATCTCTGTCCACTGGGCACAGAGAATTATCACTTTTGAGGGCCAGTGTTCTTAAGTATTTTAAAACAAATGCTCTGGATGAAAGTTCTTGCTCATGGTATTTTTTTCGGTATTTTCACAGGCAGCACTGATGATAACACATTTACAGGTACTTCAACTTTGCTTAAGCTCTTTGTGTGGTCTTTGTATGTGCTTTGTTTTCCATTTTAACCTTTTCTGTGTCTAGATGGATATTCTTTTCTCCTTTTATGTATAAGAAGAAGCCACACAGGGAGATTTTAACCAACCCCACACCAAATCCAATATTGTAGCTGTAATTGGATACTTTAAGTAATTTTGGCCTTGATTTCAGCTAGGATTTGTACATCATTGTTAAAAGGTAAACTTTGGCACATTAAAATTTTAAAGAATTCATTTGGGTGGAGAACAATTTTGAATTGAGACCTCACCGAGGGAGCAGAGAAGATTGAGTAAATGTGGAGCCTGGAAAGACAATGTTTGATAGGTGAAAGTGGAGCAGTGGACTTCTTTGGCTCATTTCAGTGAAAGTCCCTAGCTAGAGGTCAATTGGCAGTTTCTGATTACTTAAGACGGTTCCCAGTGAGTTGAGTTTCAGTTTGCTTATGTAGGAACCCAGAGCACTGGGTCAGTTTAATATCCTTCCAATTAATTATTTTAACAAATTCAACTAGGGATCTTCTAATGTGAGCTGTTTTACATCACACTGTACTAAGAAAGGGTACTGTATCTTGTACTGCATTTGCATGTGTATGCCTATCTGTGAATGTGGGTTCATAGAACACGTTCAACCACGTACACTATCACTTTCTCTTCACAAAAACACATGTAATGAGCCTGCCTAGCAAGTATGAAGCCCTGAATTCAAACTCCAGTACTGCCAAAAAAGCAAATAAGCAACAACAAAACAAAACATGTGTTGAACATGATTTGTTCAGGAGGACCGTGCTGGGAACTTAGGAGTTTCCTTTTAGTTAGCAAATGCAGTCCTGACATGTTTTCCTTACTTCTTCTTGTTGTTGGTTTTGTTTTGTTTTTTGTTTTTGTTTTGAGACAGATCTTTGCTATGTAGTCTAGGTTGTTCTGGTTTGGTTTTATGAAACAGGATCTCATTATATGCAGACTGGCTTCCAAATCAAAATCCTCCTGACTCAGCCTCCCGGGTGTTGAGATGACAGGCATGCATCACCACGCCTGGCTTGTTTTCCTCACTTCTGTTCTCATTGTATTCCATTTTGATGGACCCCACCAAAAAAAAAAAAAAAAAAAGACAGAGAAGGTCAGTGGTCAGTGTCCCCTTCTAAGGGGATCTCCTCACTCTCTTACAGATGAGAATTTCCATTGTGGTGGTTTGCTTACAAATGATTCAGGATCTCTCTCCAGTCCTTGGTATCCTAAAAAATACCCTACGAATGTGGTATGTGTCTGGGTCATCCAAGTGGATACCAGAGCTCACGTCAAACTTACATTTGAAGTGATCAAGTAAGTAGCTATTCCTGATTGTCCTATTGTGTTCCCTCTATTTTACTGCCTCCCTTCCTCTGTCCTCCGAAAAACTTCCCTACTGAATTTTCAAATGTGAGCTTGGCCTGGAGGTTCATTGTAATAGTGATCAGTATTTTAAATGTACAGACCTTGTAGCCCAGAAATTCCAGTCCCATGAGTTTTGTCTACAAATACAAAACTCAAATGCACTGAGGATAGTTATGGTAGCATAGACCTAGTTCATATAGCAGCAAAGACTGGGACTAAAGTGGCTGTCTATCAGTAGAGGATCAGTGAAACAGATTTGTATGCACACATCCCGTCCCACGCATGGTGGGAATTGCCACAGATGAGCTGCAAGAACACCGTGGTCAATAGTACTTTCTGATGCCCTTTGTTCTAGGACTCTGTAGAAGGAAATAAAAAGAAACTGTTCACTGGACCTGCTCCTGGGAAGGAGAGTGGAGTGGGGGGGACTAGTAAGAGACAGGAGAAAATTTTACTTTTTACATAAGACATGAATGCCATTTTAAATTCTATTACATGTGCTTGTTAATACATAGCCATAAAATACCATTGAATTAAAACTTCAAAAATTGAAAGACATTTAGAAACAGGAGAGTACCTTTTGCCCATGTCAGCAGGGTACTCCCTCCTCCAACCCACAAGAAGAGGTGTAGGCTTTGGGTAACTTTTCCCAACCCTTCCTGGGCTCATCTGGGTAATTGCTAACTGAAGAAAAGCCCAATGGACTGAGTTTGAATGACACCATTTCACTTCACAGAATGGAAAACTTCTACGGCTGTCCCTATGACTTCATTGAAATCTTTGATGGGCCACAAAATGAATCTTTTTCTCTGGGGAGGTTCTGCTCTGGAACAACCCCAATATTTACCTCCTCGTCAAATTGCATGACCGTGGTGTTCCACAGTGATGAAATTGTCACCAACATTGGCTTTAATGCATCTTATGAGTCTCTGGTACAAGATGAGAATGACACAGGTAGGTCTTTCAATCATTTCAGCCCCTGACCCTGCTTGGTGACAATGGTGAACTTGGTTGACCACTCACTCCACTGAGCATGAGTTTCCCAAGCTGCTTAGGAGTCATAGCTCCCCAGTGTGACTTGGAGAAACTGGTTGAGCACCCAGACTGCCCTGGACGCGTGTACATACATCTTCTGAGGTTAGAGTGCCTTTACACTATGCACAACCCTGTCTCCAAGCCTGGTTCATTCACAGTGGTATTAACAAATGTCATTCCACCTGAGGGTAGTGACCAAGTGTGCCTGTCTTCCCTAGGTGTGGCCCTCAGGCTGACCAGTGGCAGCCACCAGTGTGAGGGCCGCGTGGAGGTGCACTACAACGGCAGCTGGGGCACAGTGTGTGATGACAGCTGGGACCTGCGTGATGCCCAGGTGGTGTGCAGGCAGCTGGGCTGTGGTGGACCTGTGGCAGCCCTTGGACGGGCACATTTCAAGCGAGGCATGGGTCCCATAGCCCTGGATGACATGGAGTGCATGGGGACAGAAACCAAGCTGTGGCAGTGTCTTCACAGTGGTTGGTTTTCCCACAACTGTGGCCACCATGAGGATGCAGGTGTCATCTGCTCACGTGAGCCAAGTTCTGAGCTGGGGGGTGGGTAAGGTAGTGGGCGGGATAGTAATGACCTTCCAGTTCTGGAGCTTTCTGTGTAAGTGCACGTAAAGCAGGAGGGGAATCCCAGATGGAACCAAGGCCACTCATTTTACATGTAACTCAGAGAGTTTTCCTAACATTCAGGAGCCAAGGTCCTGGCTCAGGGACCTTATTCCTCAGCTTTTCTCAGTTGGGTTTCTGCAAATAAACTCAGTCGTTGGAGTTAAAGTTGCCACCTATCCTGCATCCTGCTGGGCTGGCTAGGAAGAGGTAAACTGGTTTATCAGCTAGAGAGGATAGGATGAAGAGGAAAGGAGGATGGAGCTACTGGAAGGTTCTGAGAGAAGAAGACAGAAGTAGAGGGACAGAATTAGTATTCTAAATAAAGCAGGAGCTGAGGACATATACCCAGTGTGGAATCAGAGGACAAGGTTGTGGCTTATAGAGCCAGGAAGTTTGGAACCAGGGCCCTTAGCTGTTAGGGCCTACAAGGGCCACCGAGGAGCAGCTCTGATTTCTCTTGTGTCTTTACCATGTCCTCATGGAAGACCTGGCCCAGCTCCACTGTCCATACCTCTCTCCCTGTGCTGTTATTTGTCTCCATCCTTAAGACAAATGCAGTCCTGCCCTTTACAAATTGACATTTACTCAGGGAGGCAAACTGCCCCCCACCCCTCACCCACACAAGCAGGAAGAATTACAAAAACAAACCAACTGGCAAGATAGTATCCCACACAAGGTGACCACCATAGTGGCCACAGTTTGCCAAAATGAAAGAAAATAACATTACAGTATCTGGCAGCAAGACAGAAATTACCATGGTAACTCAGGGCCTAGATGGGGTGTATCTGGTTTGGGGTTTCCCCCAAACAAGACTTAATACATTTCTGATTTGAATAAGCAAGTCTTAAACCACTAAGGTTTAAGAAGAATGAAGGGAGATAACCAGCCACACTTTTTGTGTCTTTCTTTTCTTTTTTTTCTTTTATTATTCATATGCGAATACAAGGCTTGGGTCATTTCTCCCCCCTGCCCCCACCCCCTCCCTTACCACCCACTCCGCCCCCTCCCTCTCCCCCCCAACCCCCTCAATACCCAGCAGAAACTATTTTGCCCTTATTTCTAATTTTGTTGTAGAGAGAGTATAAGCAATAACAGGAAGGAAAAAGGGTTTTTGCTGGTTGAGATAAGGATAGCTATATAGGGAGTTGACACACATTGATTTCCTGTGCGTGTGTGTTACCTTCTAGGTTAATTCTTTTTGATCTCACCTTTTCTCTAGTTCCTGGTCCCCTTTTCCTATTGACCTCAGTTGCTTTTACGGTATCTGCTTTAGTTTCTCTGCGTTAAGGGCAACAAATGCTAGCTAATTTTTTAGGTGTCTTACTTAACCTTGTGTCTTTCGTAGCCTCTCTGCCTCACCCTACACCACCAGCTGCTGTGAATTATGCAACATCAGGTAATTTCAGTTGTTCTTAACTGATTGGCTATAACTTGCCTCACAAAGTCACCGCCACGGGCAGTCAGTAGCAGTTTACAGGACAAATGCCCTGTGTTCCTCATTTACCAGCTGTGTGGCCTCCAGCAAATCTCTGAACAGCTTCACAGTTCAGTTTCCTATGCTGGATGAGGCTGAGATGGATCACTTACCTCCTAAAGCCATGTTGGGATCTGGTAGCCCTCTCTGTAAAGAGTGACTAGAGCAGTGCTTGATGTACAACAGGGCATGCTAACTTGACGTCATCCATTATCTCTGACTTTGTCCAAGGCCAGAACACTGCAGGGATTTATCTCTGTACACTGCTTTGTACTTGGCAACGTTAAGAATGAGAAAGTCCAAAGTATCACTTTTTAGTTTGCTCTTGACTCTGTTTGGCCCAGAGATTGTTCTATTTCACCATTGTGAGCTGCTATTTCACAGGTCTTCTGCCAGGTGCTAGTGGCTCATGCTTGTAATCATAGCTACTCAGGAGACAAATACCAAGACTGTGCTTCAGACCAGCCCAAACAAATAGTTTGTGAGACCCTATCTCAAAAATACACAACACAATAAAAGGACTAGTGCAATGGCTTAAGTGGTAGAGCTCCTGCCTAGCAAGTGTGAAGCCCTGAGTTCAAATCCCATTAAAAATGAAAATCTGTCAACCCCCAGCTTTGGTTTCTTGAGCTTGTATGATGAATTGGCTCTCATTCACTGTGCACACACTGGTTGGAGGATGAAGGGGGTACCCCCTACAGAGTAAGGACACCAGATGGGAAACTGGTTTAGAGCCAGAAACTATCTGTAGATAATCCAGAAGTTGGAAAGCCCATTGACAATTGACCAAGAATGTGTCTGACAATCAAGATGTATAATTTTCTTCTTTTCTTTGTGTCTGCCCTTAGCATCTTTTCCAAAGTCAACAGAAGTGCCACTATCAACAGGTAACACATTTTTCCCTCTTCAGTTGCCTTGCCTTGTAGAGTGTGAGGTCAAAAGACTCCAGCATGGAGACAGTGTCCATTTCCATCTTCCTGCATGGCCTCAGGCTGACCCTGTAAGTGACTGCTTCTGGAATAAGAGTTTAGACTCTCTGGGTTTACCTAGAAAATCTGAGACTAGACATGAGAGGAAAGAAAAAGCTGTAAGGTATAACAATGGTTTATAGGGACTGATTGAGAAGCTGGCTCCTAGAAAGGCTCAGAATTTCCTGCTGACTCCCAATCTCTACCCAGTCCCCCTAGAAACTCACCTTGGCTGTATTTTAAGAGTATACAAAACTTCTACTCCCTTGTGACATGCTGCCCTTTAAACATGGGCAGCAGCCTCCAATAACTGCCTTTCATATTCCCTGGAATATATTTACACGTGGGTCACACTTGATCCTAGAAACAACATACACTGGAACTACTGTTATCCTCACTTGAGCAACAAGTGAGGTGGTACACACACACACACACACACACACACACACACACACACACACACACACACACACACACCGGTTAGCATGTATCTGATTGCTTCCCATGAAAACTACACCAAACTCAGTGAGTGTCAGAAACCAAGACTTTACAACATGCAGTGAAAGGACAGCTATATAGTGGGTTATGTCACTGGCCCAGCTGGCCAAGGAACAATCGTCATATTTTTAACCAGTCATAACCTTGAAAAACCCACTGACTGGACCCAAGGCAAAAATTGAAATAAGGTGAACAGAACAAACAGGCCTGTGGAGTTGTTGTTCTTGGCTCTCAGTGCACAATTCCCAGGAAATAGCTGGCTTTTCTGGTGACCTCTGGGGATGAACCTTCATGGAGGCTTTGAATGTCCGTAAAGATCTAGGCCTGAGGCTGCTGAACAGGGCAAGCAGGTATGAGGGCTGAGTCAAGGTCCACCATGCCAATACCTGAGGTACCAGGTGGTCTGCAGACATCCTGGCTGTGGTCTGGCCATGGCTGCCCTCCCAGGAGCCAGCTGAAGCATCCTCCTCAATGATGTTAACTGCACAGGAAGGAGTCCTTCCTGGGTCAACACCCTCCCAGGACTGGTTTCCTTACAACTATGGGTACCATGAGGATGCTGGTGTCATCTGCTTGGGTCCACAATGGCCTGTCATATAGCTACCCAAGCCAAACCCAGAATTACTGATAAATCTGGAAATGCCTCCGTGCCTTGAGCCTTCCCCTACATCCATGGATGTAGTGGATTTCTGTTCCAGTGCTTAAAAATGTATGCCCACTATGCAATATATGGGGTGGCAACTTGAGGGTGTGCAGAGGTCAATCAGTTGTAAAACAAAGAAAGTAATAGTATTTATGTCATAGAGTTGCTGGAAGGAGTGAGAAAACCCACACTGACATTTGGTCAAAATTTTAACAACTATAAGCACACAAAAATATTGCTAATCTGTTGTTCTTATTTTAGTTCTTTCAGAACAATTTTCTCAAGAGTTTTGAAGCAGATAAAAATAACCCACACCAGGGGAAAAACCACAGATGCTTACGAACAAGTGTTTACATCCACCTTTTTTGAGTCGAATTTAACAGAGACAATGACCTTTAAACCACTCCACCACCCTGTTTCTAATGGCCACCTCTCTCATGTTTCCTTTCACTCTGCAGTTGCTGTAGATGCTGGACATTCAACTGTCTGTGAGTTCACATTGTTGTATTTGCTGGCTGGTAATAACATCTAGTGCAGGGGTCCCCATACCGGGTCTCTCTTCCAAGCTTTAACTCTCCTTGAAGTGCCCTGAGCTCCACACTCTTTAAGAAGATGAAGGTTCAGGGCTGTTTTCCATTTCCTTGGGTTCCTACTATGCACCCGCAGGAAAGGCTGCTCCACTAGGCTGAGGTGTCATCCTTCTGCATATAACCCAGGAATATCCACAGGACTCTGAAACACCAGCCCTTGACCAAAAATGGAACCTCGTGCAACAGAGGTCTTGACAGAACAAGGGAGGGCAGGCATACTTGGAGGGAAGTTGGACCTGGAGGGCAACTAGACCTGGGGCAGGTGGACCTTGGGTCAGGTGTGCCTGGGAACAGATGGAACTTGGGGCAGGTGGGCGTGGGGACTGATGGACCTGGGAGTCAAAGGGCTTGAAGCAGGTGGACTTGGGGCCAGTAGGACCTGGAACAGAAGGACTTGGGGTAGATAGATCTGGGGGCAGGAGGGCCTGGGGCAGCTGGATGGGGCTGCTTAAAGGCAAACTCACTTATGTGATTTAGATGGTATTTGAAAGAATATGAAATTGTATTGTGTTTGTTTAGAACATACTTACAGGTGGCTATTTTTCTTTTTTATGCCTATAGTTTCTCCGTCTCCTGGGGGGCATCCATATGTTTTCCAACCTATAGGTACTTTTCCCATTCTTACATTGTGTGACTGTTTTTCTGAGTCTGGGGGCCCTCCATTTGTGACCAAAAAACTGTAGCGAATGTTATTTCTGTGACCCTGGTGCTGTATGGAAAAGAAGCCAGGCTCAGGAGAAGCAAGCTGGTAATGTGGTGAGTTCTGCTAGTGTGGGGGTCTTTTCAAGGACAGAGCCAACTCCCCACTCTTCTCAGCCACAGTACCCAAGGGCCAGTTAGAAACCTGGCTGCACATTGTGTTCTGTAGAGCCTCCAAAAGGGGACCCACGAACCAGCCAGTCTTGGGAAGTCAACTTCATTTTCTTTGGGCTCAAAGGGCATTTTACTTGACCAGGTTCCTTACTTTCTTGCCACAGCAGCACCATGCCTTCCTCTGTTGGATTTCCCACCCCTTCCCCATTATCCCCAATAAATACTTTACAATATTCCAAATAGGAATGAACCAAAGATCATTTTGTTCTGAGGATCTCAACACGTTCTTCAACAGACCTGGGTTAGAAATGCAGAGTCCAAACTCCAAACATTTGGCTGTGTTGTTTTGAATTTTTAGAAAAACGACATGAAAAATAATACTTCAAACAGAGTAAAAGCAGAATGTTATTTTTCAGTGTCGTTCACAAAGCCTGCACTGGTCTGCATTCCCACAATGAAACTGCCCAGCGCAGAGACCCTTGTAAGGGCTGCACCAAATTTCAGGTTCAAAAACAGTCGTACTGTTCTCTACATACACAAGGCTCCCACATTAGCATAGCCCTATCTGGACTGGAGTCTGCTATCCCAACAGCAGACTGCATGCCTGGAAGAATTCTCCAGCTGGAAGCACTGTCTCCTTTGAGCCCTGAAGGAGCCTTCTCACGCTGACTTGTGTCTTGGCTCCTGCAGATCTGCCAGTGGTGAGGCTGGCCAATGGGAGAAGCCAGTGCGAGGGCCGCGTGGAGATCCACCACAACGGCACCTGGGGATCAGTATGCGACAACCTCTGGGACCTGCCTGCTGCCCAGGTGGTGTGCCAGCAGCTGGGCTGTGGGACAGCCCTGGCAGCCCCCCGGGGAAGTCTGTTCGGCGATGGCTCGGGCCCCATCTTTTTAGATGATGTGAGGTGTATGGGCAATGAGACCAACTTGGGGCAGTGCCACCACCTTGGCTTGTCTGTGCATAACTGTGGACACCGTGAGGATGCTGGAGTCGTCTGCTCAGGTAACTGAACTCTGTCAATTCTGTGTTTCCCTTCCAAACAGCACAGCCGTGCCTACCAGGCAGGCCAACCCTGAATGGCATGGGGTCCATGGGGTGAACAACTTGTCTTGCTTTGCCTGGAGCTGTCCTGGCTTTAGCATTGAAACTCCCACATCCCAGGAGCCCCCATGCATTGGTCACTCTAGTGTCAGGAAAGGAAGGTCTCCTGCCCAACATCTCAGCTTGTTCCTGACCTTAAGAGAAAAAAAATTATACCTAGAACAGATGCTAACTTCTAGAATGGTTTTCCTATATATGTCAACCTCATAAATTTCTCATGAATATATTTCCAAAGAAAGCTATATCATATGAATAATCTCCTGATTGCTGATTGACTGAGACTCTCTTACCACAAGGAGTAATTTTAGGCAACCATTCAAAAAAGTTCAACAAAAATGTCAAACCCCTGTTTTATTACCTTTTGTTACTAATTATTTCCAAACAACTGCTCCACTGCCCAGCACCACCTCTACCTCCTCAGAGGGAGGGGCAGAGATGAAATTCCAAGATGGGGTGAAGATGAGGAAAGGACTTTTCTACTCCCCTCTGTCAGTTTGTTTCGTTTAATCTGAAGATTTACTGTTTGTTTCATGGTGTCTAGGGATAACCCTGAGTTAAAATGGCATCCAATGTTCATTGTCCTATTTTGTAGCCTTAATTCCCTGAGTAATGCCCAAGACAATACCTTGTAAGATTTGGAAACACACTTACACTGAGTGCCAGTAAGTTGGAGTCTTGCCAGGCAGGGGAAGGCAGCTCAGACACACTATCTAGATGGCTGGATCTCTGAACATGCTGGCCTGCTATGACCACATTGTGCGGACTGACCTGCCAGACCTCTCAGATCAGGGCTCAGCACCCACTCACCTTGTGGCATCTTTTCAGTGTTCACCTCCAGTAACCAGCATGTCTGGGGTTTTCTCTTTCAGCTGTTGAAGTTTCCCCAGCAGAAACAGCTCCCACAGTTGGTAAGCCTCCCCTTGTTTCTCTTGAAGCTTACTGGATTAACACCCTGAGGTTATAGCTGGTGATGCCAGAGCCTACCTAGATCCACACTTCCTTGGGACTGGGAAAATAGAGCTAAAACAGAAATGGAGGCTATGAGTAGGGCTCACTGCTACTTCTCTACTCTCTGGGTCTTCTAAGGTGTTTTTGACTTTGAACTTGGTCAACTGTCAAGCTTGGCCTAAAGGAAATAATGAAAACTTGAGTTTGGTCTATGCCAGTGCTGTTTCTTATCAGTTTGATTGCTTGGCTCCAAAATAAACATTTATCTTTACCAAATTTCCAATCCTAAGATGGGAATGAAATATCAGAAATCAAAAACAGCCTGGAAGAAACCAGTCATTGCATTCATAAGCACTCATTTGACTTAGTTCTGTGAGGCATAGAAGCAGGAAGCAAGACCCTATGGCTCTGGAATTCTGGGTGCATTATATTAAGAACTAAAAAAAATCCAATATAAGTTGCCTGCCACTAACCTCTGAGTATTCCCCAGACCTGCCAATTGTCCGGTTGGTGGATGGGAGGAACCGGTGTGAAGGGCGTGTTGAAGTCCACCACAATGGCACATGGGGCACCGTGTGTGATGACCTCTGGAGCATCAAGGCTGCGCACGTGGTGTGCCAGCAGCTGGGCTGCGGGGAAGGCACTGGTGCACTAGGGAGCAGCCACTTTGGGGAAGGCATGGGGAGCATCTTCCTGGACGATGTGCAGTGCCGGGGCAACGAGACCTCGCTAGGCCAGTGCTGCCACCGGGGCCTGTCTGTCCACAACTGTGGCCACCATGAAGATGCTGGGGTCATCTGCTCAGGTACTCACTCCCAGCTTTCTCCAGAGGCGAAGGACATGGAAATTGACATGAGGGAAGTTTGGGTCCCATTGGGATCTCAAGATCTTGAGACTCATGGGAGCATCAGATATTTAATAAGTACAGTACAATAACCTCACAGCCTTCCCTGACCTCGGTTCCAGGAGGCCTACCATTCTTAGCCTCCCTTTATGTGCTGATCACCTCCTTCTTGACCCAACGTCCATGAGTTCACCATAGAGCCCTCAGGCTCTGCTGTCTTTAAGGACTGACCAGAGACCATCTGTCCACCACTTACTGGGGTAATGCAATTTCCTAGATTTTGTCTTTAAATTGCTTTTTTTTGAGCTTTAAAGCTGACTTTGTAGTGTTGCTCTTGGGAATTCCTCTCACCTATTTCCACACTATTTCCTTTTGGCCTCTGATTTGAGATTTTTTTCTTCTTTTTTTCCTTTATATTTAATTCAGCACAGTTTGTGCATTACCTGTCTCTCCTTTCTTTTTCCAAAAAAGTGGAATAGAAAAAGGAAATCAGAGGAAATGAAAATATCCAGTGCCCAGCATATTCATCTGTTTATTTAACATATGTTAACATACGAACTTTCTGTGTGTCAAGCACAAGTGTAGGTACTGGTGAGCAGCACTGAACACAACAGCATAGGCTCCTGCATTCAGTAGGAGGTTGGAGTCACCTTTGCAGTTCAGCTGTGAGAGACCATGAAATGATGTAAATAAATTCTGAATCGGGGGTCTTAATGCTTGAGGGTCATAATGTTTTATTATATTAAGGAACCACTTTCCTTTACTGTCCAGACAACTTAGTAATGTGTTAGAAACTTAGTTTGGTAAAAATGAGAAATCAGTGATAGAAATCTAAGGTCAAATGAGAAAGGGTTCTGGTATGCTGCCACTCTAGAAAATTCTTCTCTTTTATTGCATTAATGAAATAGCCTTTCTGATCCTTCCAGGGAAGTTACATTGTTCCCACACCAGTGAAAGTTTTTCACTGTCTGTCTTCATGCACCCTGTCTCCATTTTAGTCTCAGCTTAGAAACCTTTCTTCTTTTTAGTTTTGCATTTCAGAAGTTGTTTTATCTAATTTAAATGTAGGTGAGGTATCAAATTTTTAAACAAAAAAGTATCTTCTCAGTTCCTGTTTGTTTTATAATTTCAGGATCAGCTACGGAAGTGACTACTTCACCAGGTAATTTTTATTTTCCTTCTTGCTTTTTATAAATTAGATACATAGAGACAGCCTTTCATGTGATTATACTTGTAGTTTATACCTCCTATGAAACTAAATACCATTGTGAGGTGTTTCTCTATCCATTGAGTGATGCAGTAAATTGAACAGATGACACGCCTTCTGTAGGAGGGATACAGCATATCCACTTCGTTCCTCCTTCTTCGGTGCAATAGCTGGTCTCTGAATCAAGTTTGAGTGACTCACATTCTTACCAGTGTCCACACGTGGGATTTTCAGTCAGCTTTTTTTGTTGTTTTTATTTTCAATCATTACAGGACTTCAGACATCTCAATCAAAACTCTAATCTACAGTCTCAGAAATAAAGGAGTACGACATCTCCCAAGTGTGTTTCACAGCGCAGGAAACTAATCCAGTGATAAGGATTTGCATGGCTAGATAAATTGAGGACAACCATATCCCTATCTTGAAGATTCACAGTCTGTTAGCACATGAAAATCTCTGGCAAGTCCTGCAGTAAGCGATCTTTTCCAAATTTGGTTTAAGCCAACTTTGTTCAAACTTCTTTGATCACCTTTTGAGTGGATTCAAGATTCAGCAGGATTCAGAACCAGAGAACCTGGGATTAAGTTCTGACTCCAGCAGTAGCCACCTGGATAATGGTCCATAATCCCCTTATCTCACAAAGCTGCCATTTCTTCATCTGGATAGCAGAAGAATAAAGACAGTCACCTCAAAGCTATGTTCAAGGGACCAAGTAGCTGACACTTGTGTAGGACACTGCTGAGAGCTTCACAATCACACTCCTTAAGGATGTGTGTGCCGCTGCCCACAGATACCTGGTTGGCTCTGTATAAGCAGCCTGTGTGTCCCTTTGTAAACTTCCTTCTTCTGGACACTTGGGGGTATCTTAGGGTTCAAGTTGATCACCATACAGCTACATAAACTGGAGAAATCCCACTTCGATGCAAGGCAGCTCAACTCAACCTTTCTCAACTCTAAGCAGTTATGAAAGTGTTCTGTGGTCCATATTTCCAAAACACCAGCCCTCTGCCAACCTTAGTGGAGACCAACCTGTAACGAAAATCAGACAATGAAATGTGCTTCTTTTCTTGTGGTTGGATCTGTGAGAATTGCCTCCCAAGTCTTCTAAGCAAGGACAAGTTAGATATGGCACCATACCAGTGTGACATTTTTCCAAGAGTTGTAAGAAACCTTAGAGATTGCTCAGGCCAGAAGTCACACACAAATGGGCAGCCCAGGGCCAGTTTTGACCCGCCAATGAGTTTAGATTCAGACAACCCAATCTGACCTATGCATGTTTAAGTTATCTTTAACCCCACTTTTAAAGCCGGAAGAATCCAGATTTCCAGCTTGTGTATGCATGTGTGTGTGTATGTGTGTTGTGGGGATCAAACCCAAGACTTCGTGGATCCTAGGCATGTGTTCTGCCATTGAGATACATCCTTTGCTCAAAATTTCCTGCTTTGATTGAAAAATCTGAAAATGGTCAGCAGTAGCACAAATTCTATCATCCCAGCAGTTGGCTGGGGCTGAGCAGGGAGGGGCTTTATATGGGCTTTTCCATTTCCTCCTGGCCCATGCCATTTTTATCCAGGCCTGTAGGCATCTCCATTTGCCTGTTTCTCAGAGTTTAACATGCACTCAACTCACTTGGAGATCTTGTTAAAATACAGATCTGGTTCATTGCATCCCAACAGTCTGAATTTCTAACAACTAGACTCTGATTGCTGGTCCATGGAGTAGCCCTTCAGTGCAGCAGCTAACGCTCAAAGACACAAAAGGACTTGCTTAAGGTCACATGCTCCATTACACAAAGACTAGTGACTAAAACCCAGCCAGGACTTTTGGATTCCAGTCACATCCCTTATTATTCATTTCCTTTTACTTAATAGAGACTAGAACAATCAAACAGGAACAAAGCATAATTAAATGTATTAGAGCACATTTTAAAATAGGGTCATGTTTTTAAAAAGTTATTTACCAATGAACTTAATTGACAAGGATGGTGTTTAATTATAATTTTCTTAACTTCGCTTGTTTTGACAGCTCCTACCTCAATTTTAGCCACAGATTTCATTCTTACAACTGGTAAGAAATTTTCTGTTCATTTGTCCTCTTACTACCTATCTCAGGGATATTTCTGTGCTGAATTCTACCAAGATAGTACAAGCTACATTCTTATTTGGGAGTCATTTGCCTGAATTAGTCCTGTGGAAAATAGATTCCAAAAATAGTCAAAGGAGGGATCTCTGAAGTCAAGTTGAGACCACCAATATTCATGTTCAAGTGTTTAAATATACATGGAGGCATTCCAGAGAGGCTCTCAGAGATTGCCCTTCTTACTTTGTACACACATGTAGCATTGCTTGTTTGACCTCCCTACTGACTGTATTTTAGGGGATAATATAGGTTGGAAATGGTGTGCAAGGGGCAGAACAAGATACATCTGATAGTGGAGCCATATCAGCAATAGTAGAAAATGCTAGCAGATGCTCTGATAGCCACAAAGGCTCAGAAAAACATGATTCAGGGTCACCAGACTTTCCAAATAACAATATGAAACGAAAATGCCCACTTACCTCCCTGTCCTTTGAGATACCGCTATATCATATTCCAACATAAACAATGATATTCTTCCTAATGAATCTCAATGGTGAAGGTTAAAAAATGATCAGAACCTTTTGTTTAAAAGAACAGGAAGCAGGCTTTGTTTCGTGAAAGATTTCATTTATAATATCACAGTGAGTGTGTTTTGTAATTTTGATAATTAAACTCTTTTTGGAAAGACAGGAAATAACTAGTCTTCATATTAGAATTTTTCCAAAACATAGACTGGTCTATGAGAACATAGCAAAGGTAAAATTGAGTGTTACAAGAAAATGAATAGAAGCATTCTGATCAATTGACTAGCATTCCTGCTTGTATTTCATTTTCAGGCCTAACTTCTACTTCAGAAGAAGTAACTCCTTCACCTGGTAATGCACCTGGTAATGTTGTACTCTGAATATGTACAACAGCAGGGTAGTCTTCATGCCCCTGGGGCCCAAAGGAGGACAAGCCTAGAGGTGGTATAGTATCAGATTGTCATTGTCTTTCAGCGGAGCACCTAGTCCAGGCCAGACCTTGTGCCAGGCATAAAGAGGATACGTCTTTGGCCAAGTCAGATCACCAGTCCAAGGTTCTCATACCATCACGAGTCTCTCCTTCTTAGAGCTTGTCACCACTGAGCTGTACATTTACTCATTGAACATTTTATTTGGCCTGTCTTTCCCACATGGTGGTCTTTGTGAGGACAGGAACCATAGGCAGTTTTGTTGACTGTTTCACTCCAGCACCAGCCCACTGGCTGGTATAGAGGAATGGGCAATCAAAATGTATCAGTTTTATAAAGGAAAGCCAGGTTTCTGTGCTTTAGGGTCAGAGAGAAGAAAGCAAAGTAATGATAAAGGCATTTGGTAGGTTTTGACCAACTGCCTCTTTTTATTTCTAGAATCTTTGGATGTTACTGTAACCACTTCAACGGGTAATTTAAATGTTCTTTTGGGTTCCATTTTACTAATTTTCAGTGAATTCATTAATTAACCATTTATGTCTTGGACAAATTCTCTGATTATTTAGTAAATTTTTTGAGTTTTTAAGATGTGTTTGTATTGGTCTGACTCATATAGGCCAATCTCTTGATCCCCTGGTGTGAAGGACTTCTGGGTGGTCCAGCAAAATGTATAGCCCAGAGGAAACATTTGTTCAGCCTGGTTAAGCCAAGTCTATGAAAACA